CTTAATTTCAACATCCAAAGAATCCTTCCATAGCAACGCAATACCACCACTTCGTTTCCTTCCTTCTCCTTCACAACTGACAGCAAGAATATTACTAAAATTGAGCTTGTTTTTAACTTTTTCTATCTCATGAGCTTTTAATTTCGTTTCCGACAAAAAGATCATTTGGGGTTTTTCAAGAACAACCACATTCTTTACAGCATTTATTGTCGAGGTACACCCCAAACCTCTAACATTCCATGAGAGGACGTAATTCATTGATCACCGAGAGCCCATGGTGTGGGGCCCGCCACATTTTGTTTTGTGCTTATAGTCTTACGCTTCTTGCTCACAGTATCAATATCTTCTCCATCAACTGCCATCACATGCTCCTCTTCTAACTCTTCACGCCCTCCCCTTTTAACACCACTTACCTGCTTTTTAACTCCCTCCCCCTTACTCTCACTTTTTAGAATATTAACCTTCCTAAGACCTCTCCCTGCCTCCCCAAACTTAGCAGCCCCCTCCCTTTCTTCATTCTTTCCCTTATCCTCTATATTTTCCTTTACACCCTCCTTTGGTGACACATGATAACCACTAAAGTCAGAATTTTCTCTAGTGTCCATATCCACCACTCCCTCACTACTATTAAAATCATCTACACTTTCTCCAGCTTTATCCACTATACTCCCTACATCCCTCTCCCCACTCCTTCCCACACTAACATCTTTAGATTTCCCCTCTTCTCCTCCAAGACTCATATTTAAATTAAAGACCTCACTCTTCTTACTCATCGATATGCATATGATTCTCAAAACCAACTTCCCTTCGCTGCTGTCCCTCACCGCAACAAGTCCAACCTCCTAAGTCTGCATAGGAGCCTTTTTTTCTTCTAAATCATGATCAATCAGAGAGGATAAAGCAAGTTTTCGAGCAGCCCCTATAGGTCCCAGCTTTATTACATTCAGGTCATTAAAGGTAGGAACCTTCTTGGATGATGCTGACATTTTAATTTTCTCCATCCAGGTCTTCTCTAATTCACGTTCCGCAACATCAATTTTGAGTTTCTTTCTTGGTGAAGCTCGCAACCATGGCCCATATTGATACACCATCTTCTCAGCATCCCCTTTTGCATGTTCTTTAAACTGACATTCTCTTTCGATATGATCAAGTCTACCGCAAAAGAAACAAAAATCAGCAAGCCTCTCATACTTGATATCCACCCATCGAGACTTATTTTGCCCCATAGCTAAGAAAAGACCTCTCCGTAGAGGTTTGTTGATGTCAACCAGCACTTTAATACGCAAACTATCACCCCACCCTAGAGGATCAGATTCATCTGCCTCCAGAAAGCCTCCTAGAAACTCCCCCACATCGTACATCACTTCCAGTGAACGTTTATTCAAAGGCACGTCTAATAATCTAACCCACAAAGGAGTCTTCTTGAAAAAAAATTCTGGCGGTTGCTCATCACCAAAAACTTATTGTATCAGCAGCAATTTCTCGTCAAAAAACCATGGTCTACCCTCTAATACTCGTTCCTTGTCCTCCACACATAAAAATTGAAAAACGAATAGGTTTGTTTCTACAACCCTAATTGCGAATTTCTCTTTTAGTCTCCATACATTCGATAAGGTTCTCTTCATAGCTTCTAAATTATAGGGTTTCACTGTCCATAATTTTCCCACCAACGTGAGATTAATTTTCGCTTTAGTAACATCGCTTACAACTTCTACATAATCACCCCCAAGCACTACACCTTCATCCGTTAAACGCAATTTTTCCCATTCCTTCACCAATTCGTCCCCCATGATTCACAGCACTAACTAAATCTCAGGGAATTTGCCTTCGAAAGATTGAGAAATTGATCAAGATTGGTTTGGAAAGCAAGAAATCGCACTCACAAACCCTAAGTCGGGACTCACTCACCCTAGAGAGGAACTCTTATTATATATTTGGAATTCTTAAACATTTGATTTAAAATTAAGAACGTGTGAATAAAAAATTTAGAACACTTGGTATAAAATATAGAAAATGGGAGTAAAAATATTGAGCATATAAGTAAAAATATAGAACATGTGAGTCAAAATTGGAACATATGCTTTCGAATTTAGAACATATAACTAAAAATTTTAGAACACACGCACGTTTTAAAATTTAGAACATATAAGTTAAAATTTCGGAATAAGTCATTCGAAATTTATAATATATAACTTAACTAATTTATGGTTTAGAACATGTGAGTACTAATTTAGAACATCTGATTTAATTTAGAAAACCTGGGAAAAAGTTTAGAATATCAGATTTAAAATTCATACGAGTAAAAATTTAGAACATAAAAAGTGTTCTCACATAAGAAAAATTCTCACGAGAGTCTTATATATAAAGAGTGTGAGTAATAAAAATATATATATAATAGACTCATCACCTATGTCATGCGGTTCAACCTAGTGAGAATTCCAATCCAGGGGTTGTCTGACGAGGTAGCCTATACAGACTTCTTCAAGGGTCTGAAGGACGGTTTGACCTTTAAGTTTGACCTTTAAGTATCGAGCATAATGATGTTTGCTGAACTTCCGTTATCAACAAGGATTCTCTTGATCATGCAATTTCCTACTAGGAGTGATATCACTAAGCCATCATGATGGCCTTCCACTGCATCACTTTCTTCAAACATGATAGGGATCGGATGTCTATCTTTGACCTTGCTTTTCTGTCGGGCTGATCCATATGGCTTTCTTTGGCATGACGCTTTGCTGCTGAATATGTTAAACCGCCCACTTCTGACCCTCCTGATATGAAGCAGATTGTCTTGACTATTGGATGAGGAGGTGGGGGTCCACCTTGCTGGGACTTCTTCTACTTTCATGAGACTTTGGACCTGTTTGTTAAGAGTTCTTTGAGATAGCCTTTCTTCAACAGGTATACAACTTCCTTTCTGAGCGCGACACATTCATCGATTGTATGGCCAATATCTGAATGGAAATCACACCATCTTGACGGATCCTTCTTCTCTTCTGGCCTATCATTCTTCCAGGGCCACTGCACGGTGTCTCCCATCTTGTTCAAGGTTCTTATTACACCTGCAGGGTTAACATTGAAACAGTATTCATGCAATTTAGGTGGGAGTACAGGATCTTCCCTCCAATCTGAGAATTTTTCTTCAACAGCATTGACCGATCCTTCATCATAGCGGGACCTCTGGTACGGTTTGAACTAATGGTCCCTCCTGGGAAAGTTGTTCCTTCTTGACGAGCGATCTAGATCGGGAGTTTTTCTTGCGTACACATCTTCTTCAAGCCTAACTTGTGCTGGCCTTAGCTTGCACATCTTCAAAGGTTGCACAGGTATACTTTGTTAATTCCTTATAGAGCTCGCTATGATCCAGCAGCCCCCTCATTAATGCTTCAATTGTTGTGGGAGCATCACATTTATGTATCCCGTTTTTCTCCCTGTTGAACCTGTTAAGATAATCCCTCAAGGATTCTCCGTGTCTCTGCACGACACGGTACAGATGTGAAGATTTGCTTCTCAATCTTTCTGCTGCTTACGAATTGGATCTTGAATAGGTTCATCATTCCTGCAAAAGATCGAATTGTTCCATTTTCTAAGTTAATAAACCAAGTTAAGGCTGGACCTGACAGAGTGGCTCCAAAGCCTTTGCACATGATAGCCTCCCTGATGTCTCTAGGGATTGAGCTGGTCATCATCTCTTGTTTGTAGAAGGACACGTGCTCACCTGGTTCTGTTGTTCCATCATACATGGGCATATTGGGTGTGCTGAACCTCTTTGGCACTTCCACCATGGTGATCTCCTCTAAGAAGGGTGACTCTATGTAGCCGTCTGCTGCCTCTTCCTCCATGGGCTTTGGCACTCCATGGATCTTTGCAATTTTGGCTTCGAACGCCTTGAGGTACTCCTTGACTACCTTCTCTATCTTTCCCTCCTCTGTTCCTTCCTGCTTGCTTTTCTTGAAGGTTCCAGCATCAATGAAATCTAAATCCACGGTGTCTTCCCTGATGTTAGAAACTTTTTCCCCGTTATTTAACGGGTACGAAAAGTTCCAGACACAAACTGCATGGCTATGCTTTCAGTGCTCTTTCGGGTGTTAACAGTTTTGGATGCAACTGACTGTATTTGGCTACGGAGGGCTTCATTCTGTCTGGTTAGGCTGGTAAACTTGGCTTCGGTTTGGACTTTTTAGGCTAACAATGTTTCGATTGGGCTTTTTGCTGGTCTAGGATTTGACGGAATGCATTCATTCCTTCATTGATTTCGGCTATAGTGAAGGCAAGTGGTTGTCCAGTCATGGTGATTGTCTTGGTTTCGATGAGTTTGGCAGGTTAATTGATTATCAGCCCCACGGTGGGCGCCAAATTGTTTAGGCAAATCTTAGTAAGGTCATTTAGAAATTTGCTTAGGGACCTAGGGGTAATAACAATCAAGCCACAAATATCAAATACAATAACCAAGAATGATAACAAAGCATTAAGTAAACGATTATATTAAAAGAGATTAAGTTTAAAGATACAATACTGAGAAAGGATAAGCTTCCTTGTTCAGCAAGGACACAGTTCTGAGAGAATAAGTAGAGTAATCAGTTTATATTGATGTATGAGTGCACGTACATGAGTATTATAATATCTAGCTATACTATTTATACCTAGGAACATATAGGGTTACAATTCTTACAAAGATATCAAATATATTCAAACGTGAGAGATCCTCTTGATTTTATTCTATTTCCCTGTTCAGCAAGTGTATTCTTGGCAAGTATCTTCGTGATTGATATTCTGATCTCGTTTGCCATACTTGTTCCAATCAGGCCGTTTTGCTTGATTTGGTGTATTCTTTGATCATAGGATGATTCCCTAATTGTATTGGGTTGCTTGATAATACGGGCCCAACAGGGTCATATGAATTTCCACCCCATCCCATGCTATCCTACAACCCCTTGGTATCCAACAAATCTAAGCTAGTTTGAATGTAAAACTCAAGAAACAAAAACAAAATAAAGATGTGGGTAAAATTTCATCATATATTCCTACGCTATAATTACTCATCTTTAATTTTTAATGAGGTTTCTTCATTTGCTTTGCACCAAAAAAAACTACACATGTATCAGAGAATGCTTCTAATGTGTGTATACATCAGAAACACTTTGTACATTTCAAGTGTTACAGATTTAGTCAGAGTCGCCGTCCCTAGAAATCTGAGATTGATTTCTCTTGGCACTCCTTTCAGATTCTTCGCCCCTCTCATCTTCAAATGGTGAATCCTCTATTTCCCGACTCTTTTTCCTTTTCTTTGACGGGTCTTTTTTCTCGTCGATCAAGGTTATAAGAGTTCTGAGTCGTTGCAAGTTGGAATTACTACCCTGAAATTCTGAAACTACTTGGTTTCTAGAAGCATGATGAAAACGGCGACAAATTCTTGTGAAGTATATACAAAGAGCAACAATACATGCTATCCCACAAAGTAGAAAGAGACCCAGGAAACTTTTTAGGTGGAGTTGGCTCGATTCGATCTCTGTGTTATCTTGGCTGCAGCTGCTTGTTGTCAACCACTTGTCATGTATTCGCTGCAGATCCCCGTTTTCAGATAGCTTCAAAATTGCAGTGGACATGTCGGGGGCTAGGGGAGAATCCCGCGGAAATGCCTATAAATACAGATTTAAGTGAGACAACTTCCATCACATTCATGACTCGACATACAGTTCAGAAGTTTTGGCTTATGTATGCGCCTAAAATTTCACCTAAAAATATCTATACGTGCATCAGACAACATTCTCGACAGGCTATCAGTTAAACTATAGACACCTGGGAGCCTGGGACAATTGTGTATCATGCTTTTGAATTCTAAAACTCAGCTGAAAACTCAAATGTCATTTAAAGTTCAAAATTAATCTTATCATTCAACTAGTACTTGATCATCTGTTAGCCTTATATTATAGGAAACACAACCTAATACTATTCACTCTGCTTAATCAAGACTGGTTATAATACTATTTCAGACATTACCATATAAGAGACTTGTGTGACTGAACTTCTCAATCCTTACCAGACTTTAACACTAATTACGAACAGAATCCCAACTAAAAGAGCTTAGCACTTCATCTAAGCTGATTAAATGATCGCTAAATTATCTTTTGAAAATAAATTGGCCATTACTATACATTTTTTTTTTGGTGTTTAGAGAGCCACAAGGGCGGGGGTGAGAATCGATCCCAGGATCTCCTGGAATCGGGAGGGAAGCTCTAACCACTTGAGCTATCCCTCACTCTCGGCCATTACTATACATGCCAAAGCGGAAACACATGAACTTTGACATAGCACCATTCAGGGGAGGGGGGGGGGGAGGGAGGATTAGGAGATACTTACAAAACCCCAGCCGCTTCTTGTGAACTCTGGACCTACAATTCTATAATCACACTGGCTCGAGAGGAAGAGCTCCACATATGGAAGTTCATCAACCAAAGCATCAATACGACCAACTCGTAGAGCTTCAGCGTATTCTTCAGGTGAAGTAAGTTCAACAAGCCTAGATTTGGATATATTCAATTCCTCTGTCAAGTACATTTGTGCAAAGGATCCAGCCTGGTATCCTATACGTTCATTACCAGCTACCAAGGAGTCAATCCCCTTGATAGCTGATGACAATTGTTGCACTGTAAGAATTGAGGTTAAGCTCGCAGTATAACTTGAGGTGAGTATCAGAACCACAAAGAGCCATATGATTACTACCATCCGACCAAGGCAGCTAATAGTATTCTCCTCTGCAATTAAGCATATGATTAGTTACACAACTAGCTTATATAACTGAAACTAGCAAATAAAATTTTAAAAAAACACAGCAGACTTACTATGAGAAAAAGTCAATGTTGAAAAACTGAACCTGAAAGTACACAAGAAGTGAGATCAGAAATTAACATTCAAATGTTCGAAGTGTGCATCCTTTTCAATGACAGACAAGATACAAGAATATCATCCTCATCAATCACAATCTCAATCCCTAACAAAGTACACCATAATTAAATAATGCATACTTTCATGCCATTAACCATAACATGTATATTATGAGTATTATGACCAAACCTATGCCCTGTAGAAAGTTATACTGTCTTCAATTATCCAGATCAATCCACAGCTACGTTGTAAATATCTTAGACTATACCTCCCCTTTTTCTTAGACACGCCTTAAAGGATTACTCGTCAAGGCCTACCTCAACTACGTAGTATATAATATATAGCAATTATGACACTACAAAACCTAATGTATATAAAAGACCAATCAAACTAACATTTCTAATATACCATGTATACATTTTTTTATCGACTCATTGGACTCACCATAGAATAGTTATGAACTGCCTTGTGGGAGAGCCTCTGAACTCATCGTTTATCCTGTGCTCTAAAATCCACACAACCACACCAACAGTAAGGAACGAGAGAACAATGACACCCCACATTAGCGGTGAAAATGGCTCTAGAAAAGCCCAAGCTCCTGAATTTAGCTTCTTGAAAGGCGCCACCACCACTAGGCCAGATGAAACAAATGGTTGCGTAAAATCAACTATTTTGGTCCTGCTTGTGACAATAGCAATATCACCAACTGCAGCATCAAATTTCTAAAGCAACAAACATAATATTAGTTATACTTGTATGTGTTAGAATGAAAATGAACTTTCAACATTAACAGAACATAATGACACTCACACCAGCTAATATCATATTCACTAGGTCCGTGTAGTTTGGGTTTTTATGACCATCCCCGAAGGAAACAAACTCGTATGGAACAGGATATGGTAGCAAATTGACAGCAGATTGAAATACATCAATGCAAAACCCCTTGAACATATCATTGGTTCCAGGCACCCGAGAAACAAACTCCTTGAAACTAACCCGAAGAGGAACACCGATTTTCAATTGTGTACCACTATTTGGGAAGACCCAGCCACGAGGTGGAGTGGTAGACCCATCTGGCCAAAATACAGGGTGTAGGTGTTGATTTGCACTTGAACGATTAGGCGGTCTGCTATAGAGACTTTCTGGTAAAGTAGTAGATAAACCTGAATAATTAGACCAATAGCCAACTACCCGATATCCAGTTCCTATTACATTGATTATATCATATGCAGGGTCAACCAGAGACCTTTCTGAATTAAACTTTAATGGACCTGTCAAGCCCGTGATATTGGTCTTCAGTATACTGCTCAACAATGCTGGTCCTCCATCAAATTTGCGCATTCCTTGAAGAAAACGTTCACTGCTATTTGATGAGTGTAATTTCGTATCACTGGAAAATGAGACATTTCCACCTTGATTTAAATATGCATCAATTGCATGTGCAAGGATCGAAACTGAATCATAAGCATATAGAGCAAATGCATTCAATCCAGGAGAACCACCAGTAATACTTTTCCACCTTGAGGCAAAGGCTTTCTTTCTATTAGAATCTCGTGTGTGAGCACGCATGACAAGGAATCCTTGCATCGAATTAATCATGTCAGAAGGAAGGGGGGAATACGAATCAAGAAGAGAAGAAAGCCAATCAGTGGATATCCAAGCATATCCATTGCCTATCATCCCCAGATAACTGGCCACGTTGAATATTATACGGCCTGAATGAGAATTTACATGCAGGATAATAACCCGAGATTCAAGCATTGCAATCTTAACGAATATGTCCATTATATCACTCCGAGTAACACTAGTGGTTGGTGGAATCGCAGCTTTATACGAGATCCTGCCAAGTTTGTCAGCAAGAGCATCATCAAGAGCTGCGATACCATTCCTTCCATAATCATCATCATCGAACACAGCAACAACCTCCCTCCACCCATAATAATCAACCAATTCAGAAATTGCTGTCATCTGATAATAATCACAAATTGTGGCTCTGACAAAAAAGGGAGAGTTTAAGGGTGTAAGAGTTGCATCAGTAGCAGCAAATGACAGCAAAGGAGTTTGAAGTTCTTTAGCTATCAAAGTCACCATATGAGCAACTGCAGAAGACTGAGGGCCTATGATTGCCACGACTTCTTTCGCCATCAGTTGCATTGCTGCAGAACCCAAAATTGTCAGATAACACAATCAGGTGAATCTCCCTAACACATCAGTCTCCAAATAATTGAAGAAACAAACTTTCAGGGGTTGAAATACCTTGAATAAAGCCCAAAAACCCGCTGCAGACGGATTCCTTCATTATCAAATTGAGCTTGGTTCCATGTAGGACACTGGAATCGGAGTTGACATCATTAACAGCTTCCTGAAGTGCAATTTTAGCAACTTTGCCAATGCTAGAGTTGAAGTTAAACAGCGCCCCAACATTGATGACAGCAGGTCTTGCTGCATCATTACCAGCGCCATTCGAAACCACAAACAACAAGTAGATGAACAGAACACGAAATCGGTATATATTCATCTTAAACAATCAGGCATTGCATAATGACCTCTTCTCCACAAATTAAGAACCTCCAGAATCCAGAAAGCAATTTACTATTGAGACATGTAACTCAAACATCTGAAAAAATATAATAATCAAACAGCTAAGCAGATGGAACATGCAATACTAAACAAAACATAAAAACAATAAAACCCCACATCTTAATCAAAGCAAATAATAACAAGCATAAATGTACCAGAAAGTTAACATATAAGCATATAAATTGAAAGCTTAAACAAAAATTAGAAATTTCCAAGAATAGTAAGAGTTTGTACATACTTTAGAACATCTTCTTCAACAGCATAGTAGATTAATTTCCACTAATTATGCTCAATTTTCTTCTGAAACCCAGATTTTCTCCAAAGTATTAATAAATACACATCAATTCAAATGACTAGATTCTGATTTAAAAGGGGGAAGAAAGGAAAAAGATGATATTTTGTCAAGAAAAAAGTGGTACCCCACATCAAATTCCTAGCCCAGAAAGAGAGTACAAGCATCTAATCTAATCTTTAATAAGAGTTTAATATAATATAGTATTAGATTTCTTGGAGCTGAAACCCAAGTGGGCAGGTAATCTAACTACTGCCCACATGAAATAAAGAACATATGACAGGAAATTTAAAATAATTATTGAAGGACAAATTACAATATGCTTCCTCTATTGTTCTTCCTATGCTACTCTATTTCAATCTTGACTATCCAAACTCCCATCATTATACCATTTTCAAAACTAGCTCTTGTTGATTGGTAAAGTCTTGGGACAATTGAACCCAAGATCGAACCTTGTATACACCCAAAAAACCAAACCCAAGACCTCTTTTCGAGTTCAATTTAGTTGTCACGTTAATTAGCAAGTGAACTTAAAATACGACAATACCTATTCAAAGTTTAATTTAGCTGTTGCCTTACATAGTTAGTGAAGTTAAATTAAAAATTGGTGAAAAAAACAAGTGGGTCAATAAAGTATACAAAGAAAACTTACCAATAGTAGCTAGTGTTATAAACGGAACTGCGGGAACAAAAACAGTAAGAACAAAGTTACCGAAAATTAGACTGAGTCGCGGACTATGTCGCTCTCTTTAGAACATTCACGGCACTGCCCTGAAAATGTGCAAGCAGTTCGTACTAAACCGGATGTTCCCCAGGATAAAACAGCCTTTCTCTATTGTAATTATACCGGTGGAACTGCACAAAACCACCGGGCAACTAAACACCAAAAAGAAAAGAAACTGCTCGAGGGTTTTTTTGTTGTGAGGAAAAATAGAGAGGAGAAGAAGATTGCTTTCTGTTTTTTTTTGTCACTTAAAAACAGGAAATCAACACGCCTTTTATAGGCAAAATTGCAACGTAACTGTTGCTGTTTAATTAGGCACTAATCACGCAATTAAAACGGTCATAAGTTGAACGTTCAAAACGGTTACAGAAGATTAATGCGTGGCAAAACGTTTAGCAAAAATCAGTGAAAACGTGGAAAAATCAAGGAACTAATCACGCAATTAGCCTTGTCCAAAAAATAAGTTTATTTAATAAACCCGACCCAACCCGGCTCGGTTTGGCGCGCGTGTGTGTGATAGATGGTTTACCATATAGGTCCTCCCTCTCCACAAAATGTGGGTAGCCCAAGGGCCACACCCCTTTAGCCCACTCTCTATATTATAAAGAGAGTAAAACTCTCATTTCCCACCAATGTGGGACTTTGAGTTTTTTCACAAAATTCACACACTACACACTTGTTGTTCCAACAGCTAGAAGTTTCAAAGGGAGCAATCCAAATTCCAAACCCAATTTGGTCCCACAAATAATAATAATTGCATGGGGTCACAAAAAATTTAATCTTTACAAAAATGACATTGGATTTGAGATTTTTGAGAGGAATGTATAAAATGAAAAATCACAAGAAAAACAAGGAAAATTAAAAAAGATAGAAAGAATAATAAGGGGTTTGAAGGAGACAGACGAAAGAGAGGAGAGGAGGGGATAGCAGGCCCCACGTGAAGGGGGAACAACAAAAAATTAAAGCGCAGGTGTAATTTCTGGTGTACTGTGGTCTGTGGATGATGATTTTTGGTGCAGCACTGATTCATTTTTGCTAGATCTATCTGCCTCATTTCTTTCTTTATCAATATTTGTTTGGTTTTTTACAATGACTAGAATAGACCTGGTCTACTGTAGACCCAGCCTTCTTGTATATCATACAAATGTTATTATATCATACGAGATGTGATGATTATATTACTACAAAAGTGATTATATCATTTTGATACTGTTATGTAAATGTATAACTCAAAAAGTGAATTTATCATTATAAAAAGTATCAAATAGTAAATTACATCATTCAAAACATGATTTTTAAATTTTTTCATCCCAAAGATAATTATATAATCTCATTAAATGGTTTAATATGAGATTATATAATTCAAAATATGACTCACGAAAAGATAATTATATCATCTAAAAAAGTGATTATATCATCCAGAATGTGATTATATTATTTGAAAGTGTCAAATTTTAGGTCTACAATAATTTATTATAGACCGGGTACATACAAGACCAATTGTTGATTTTTTACCTCACTTGACTTAACTCGACTATGACTAGTGTTGAGGTCTTGAGGACAAGGCAACAGGATGCCCGTCGTATTTCATACAAAGTACAGAGTATTGTAATTGTGGAGAATTAAATCGGGATTTATATTTACTAGACTATATTAAGTACCAAGCCCCATAAACAAAACAAACGTTTTATGAGTGCAGTTTTGTAAATAAATTAACAACATATTGTAATTTTGGGGTCGTTTATTAGGCGATTAAAATGACATTATCGTGATAAAATTTTAATAATTATGGCCTCATATTTAATGAAAAGTGTTGAATAATTTACGAAGTTGAGCTAGTAACAAAAGTTAAATAATTTTTGTAAAGGATAAGATAGAATGTTCATAGTTGTTAGCTTGTCATTCTATTACCAATGGTTAGCTAATTGTTATTGTTGGTTGTTAGTGTTACATACAATATCAATTTTTCTAATTAATTATTGTGAAAGTGTGACATTTGGGGTTTTTTTTTTTATTTTTTTTTTTATAACAAAAGCTTTGACTTCTCATTAAGAAAAGAATCCTTTGCCAAAAAGGCAAAAACCTATTTCCTTGCTTCTCCCTTCAAGAGTATGTGATTCATTTGTTCTTTGCTCTAATTTAGTCACAACTTTTTAACTTTGCACTATTCATAACAAGTAAGGGCCTATTCTCTTACGTTGAAATTAAGTTCAGTTCAATTCAGTTGAGTTCAGCTCCTAATTTCCTTCTCTTATAAAATATTCATTTCAGCTCCGCTCAGTTCAGTTCAGCTGAGTCCAGTCAATGAGAACATGCCTTAATTTTTTGTTTATTACTTTTTTTGGCTCTAATTTAGTCACAGTGTTATAACTTTGCACTATTATGAAAATGGATGTTTTGTAAAATTGTTAGATTAGTAATATACCTTCAAACTTAATGTTATTTTGTATTATTTTTATTAAATACTAACACATGGTAAACATAAATTAGCAATACGATAAATGAAAAAGGTTTAAAATGTTTCAAATTAAATAAAATAATAAGTAGATTTGATTTGTAGAATTAGTTCTTCAACGTTCATTTCGAGACATTCTGAAATCTCGACCCAAAAACCCCAACAATAAGTTAAACATGAATATACCTAAGTGTGGACTAACAAAATTTGGAGATAAATGGCTCTATCAATTAAAGAATGTGCATAAGTAAGTCAAAAAGATTTTAATAAACTCTATGCTAAGAGTTAAAAAAAGATTTATAGAGAGCAATCCAAGAGCTACTCAAAAGCCCTTGTTGTAGGGGATAGAAATGGTTCTTAAAATCATGAGTTTCTCTCTTCTTTTCAAAGAAACTCGTAGATCACTCTTTTGTGTGAACATAACCTAAAGCCAAAAAATTAAATCAGAGTCCAAAAAAGTGAATCGTATATCTGACTGTAGATAGGAGTTGGACTCAGGTATGGACCTTGGTTTTGGTCCAACTCGAGTCCATAAGAAAGATTCACATTCCCTAACAAACATGGACTCAAAATCCACCCTATCAAACTAGAATTTGATCTGAAATCCGATTTTAGAATCCAATTAATTTTTGGATTGGACTTGGATCCGATTGTTAATATTGCCAAACCTTAATCCAATCAAAAGAATTTTCTCCCCAATTTGTTCATCCCGCTCTTACTCTCCCTTGTTCAGAGTAAACCACTACCTTTCTATTCACCTCTTTCTTTCTCCTCTCTCTATAAACCCTACAATTTTCACTGTTGCCCCAAATCATGGCTCTGGTATGCTTATGCTTTCTTCTTCTTCTTCCTTGCTCTATTGTAGTTCACCATGCTCATACTAATTCCTAATCAATTAGATTGTTTTTTAATTTGATTAGGAATTAGTACTTTAACTAATTTGCTGTTTTTGGGATCCCCATTTGGGTCTATGATTGCTGATATTAGTGCTTTACTTGCTAATAATGTTGAAATTACCCAATTTTAATTACTGGGTTTTGCTGCTAATTTATGTTTTCTTATGAATTTTTAATTTGGGTAGATGATTGTTGATGTATGGGAAGCTTTTGGAATTAGATGATGACAAAAATGGGGTTTACGTGTAATGCTTCTAATATGATAATCTTGAAATTATACATTAATTTATTTTGCCAATTGAATTCACATATTTGATTGGTCTAATTTGAATGTTAATTTGGTTGCTACCAAACAAAACATGCTTGATATTTGAGTTGCTATTTCTTTTCGTGATTTAGTTTCAACTTTCAAGTATGCAATTGGCTTATAATTGCCATATTATACTATTCTTAGTTAGTCCATGATATTATGTAGTTTTCACTCACTTTCTTAAGATATTAGCTTTACTAAGTGTCCTAGTAATGTTACTATCAATACTCTTGTCCTTGTAATTTCTACGTTTTTGTGATTTGGTATGAGTAGCTTCATTTTTATCCACCATTTGCCAATGTCGAATGTCTATTCGAATACTTACTGACTTCAAAATAGTATAGATAAGAGTTTAGGTATATTGATTTAAGACTATTTTTCTCTTTTATTGGCAAAACATTACAGGGAAGATTAGTGGGCAATGGTCTTTTTCTAGTACAAGCCACTAGCTTCTGGGCCGTTTCCACTAGTAGTCCATTGTCTTTATTAAATTCAAGGACATCGTTGTAGCTTTGATGCTGTTTATGATAGGAACGATCTCCTTCTTGCTTCTCATGAGCAAGGGCTTTTACTTTGTATTGAATATGTCCACATTTCCATCAATACACGAGCAGAGCTACTTTTTTTTTTATATCATGCAAAATTTGCATAGGCTTTTTCCTGTAATGCTGTGGTTGCAAAGATTATTACTGAAAATTCTTTATTTGGTAGCTCTTTCTGTTTCAAGATCCATCCTAGATTCCTAGTGCTGATTTCTAACGATTACCTCCTTTACATGGTCAAAATCTCTAACTTTCGTTGACCTTCAATTGACAACCTCAGATTCTGAAGGAGGTTTTTTTTTTTTTTTTTTTTTTTTTTTTTTTTTAAGCTGTAGTTCCCGTTTGTTTTTTCAGTTCTTAAAGCTTCTCCATCTCTTCTTCCATATCTCAGATTGTTCCAAAATTCTGAGACCTGAATGGTTGATCCTTTGAATATTAATTCATTTCTGCAGACCAATGTGCTCCACAAATTGGAAATGAATTCCACAAGCCAATATTTGTCTTTACCATCTTGCTTCTTAAAGTGTCGCATGGATATTTTTTTTGTTAAGAAAAAAAAAAATCATACAGAGAAGCTTTTTGACAGTCTCTGATTGCTATAAGTGCCTAAAGTGCAGGATTGCAATGTTTCAAAAACAAAAAAAAAAAAAAAAAGAGTGCAGGATAGCAAAACCTTCCGCAATACCCACAGTCCCTGGATAAGTGAGCTTGAGTTTCTCTGTCCTTAGAGTGCTGATACTACTGCCTACATCTATCTTTTCTGCTCTTTTAAATAATTTGATTTTAGTCACTTCACTTTAACCTTTTTTCAACTTTGAACTTCTTTTGTATCAACTAGAGCCAAAGTAGTGAACAATGCTCACCTGATTGCTTGCTCAGTCCATTGACTCTTGGTTGGGAATTTAAGTTTATCTTTCTTATGACAAAAGTTTGTTTTTTCTCAGGTCTTGCATGCAGGGAACACAAATAAAAATGCCTACAAGGCTCTCATCGCTGCAGAATATAATGGTGTGAAAGTCGAGTTGGTCAAAGATTTTGAGATGGGTGTATCCAACAAAACGCCCGAGTTTCTTGAAATGAACCCCATTGGGAAGGTAACCTTTCTACCATGCAGAATTTTGCTTTCATTTCTCTTAAGGCCTTTCCTGATCATAGATTTACTTATTGTCATTTGGTAGGTTCCAGTCTTGGAAACTCCTGATGGCCCTATTTTTGAAAGCAATGCCATTGCAAGATATGGTAAGGTTAACGTTGCCTGTCTCTAGTTAGGGTCTTGGACTTATTTGCATGTGCTTGTTTCTTATTACTTTAATCTATATCTTGCAGTTACACGGTTGAAGGCTGATAGTCCACTCTATGGCTCCTCACTGATTGATTATGTAAGATTATTTGTGGCATGATGAATGTTTTTGTGATGCTTATGCCAAATGCGCGCATGGTGCTGCTTCAGTGCTTTGCATGGTTAATTGAAGTTATCTTCTCTTATAGTTTGTTTTTTGTCTTCTGCTTGTCAGGGCCACATTGAGCAGTGGATTGATTTTGCATCTCTAGAGATTGATGCTAATATATTGCGCTGGTTCGTTCCAAGGCTGGGATTTGCTGTATATCTTCCTCCGGTTAGTCAAGAATTTGCTTCCTCTCTCTCTCTCTCTCTCTCTCGATGTATGTGCTGTATTAGCCTGTTAGCTTATTTCATTGTTCTTTATATTGAAGGCTGAGGAAGCTGCCATTTCTGGAGTCAAGAGGGGCTTGGAAGCCTTGAACGCACATCTTGCTCTAATACCTACCTGGTTGGACACAATGTGACATTGGCTGATATAGTCATGACATGCAACTTGGTTCTTGGTTTTAGTCGGATTATGACTAAGACATTTACCTCTGAATTTCCTCACGTTGAAAGATATTTTTGGACTATGGTTAATCAACCAAATTTCAAGAAGGTTCTTGGTGAAATTAAACAAACAGAATCTGTTCCACCAGTTGCAAAGAAACCTTCTCAGTCCGTCAAGCCCAAAGAAGAACCAAAGAAAGAGGTCAAGAAAGAATCGACCAAGCCCAAAGAAGCTCATACACCTGTAGAGGAGGAAGAGGCTCCCAAACCAAAGCCAAAGAATCCTCTTGATCTTCTGCCTCCCAGTAAGATGATACTGGATGAGTGGAAAAGGCTCTACTCTAACACCAAAACCAATTTCCGTGAAGTTGCAATTAAAGGTACTGTGTCGTTCTCTGTTAAATGTTTTTTTTTTTTTGGAAATGCTTTTAAACAATCCCTCCCCCCCCCCCTCGGGGCTCTTCTTTGCTTTATTATCTCTTCATCGTTACTGTATTCTTTATAAATTCATCAACTATCCGTTCTCTTCTGCCTATAAACAATTCCCCCTCCCCTCCACCCCCCTGCAAAGTTCTATGATTAGTTCATGACCAACACTCTTTTTTGAGCTGTAAAACAATAGGATAAGATTGGTTAACTCTACCCTCTTCACAGTTAACACTCCCTTCTTTTCTTTGTTTGGTTGGCTGGTTTCATAAGCTTGAGTGGGATGCTTAATACCTGTGGACCTGTGGTTGTAGTTCTCGTGTATGAAGTCTAAACTATTTACCTGAACTTGTACTTTAAGCAAGTTCTGCCGCCACATTGGTTTTAAAATCATAATTGGTTCCATGATGCTGTGATTCCTGTGAATTAGAATAAAAGTTGTGAATCATAAATCTTTATTGCATATGGAAAACACATTTGGGGGCGTTTGGTACGGGGTCTGCAGTAAAGGGTAAGGGAATGAACTAGCTTGATTCCCTTAGTTGTTTGTTAGGTCATTTTCTGCATTCCCTTCCCCCTCTTGTATTCCCTACTTCCCTCCACCGTGATTCCCCACTCCCTCCCCCTCCCTGTTAATTCCATTGGTCCATTCCCTTTTTTTTAAGCCACCCATGCAACTCTGCACAACCACACCCATGGACACTACCACCAGCAATAACCACCGCAACTGTTCATCAACTTCCGCCACCACCACCTTTATCACCAATGCTAGTAGCCTAGTACCACCACCCTTAACAAATCAAACTGCACCCAAGTACCCAACCACCTAATACCACTTTCACCACCTCGTGACCACCCCTTTAAACCACCCAAAGCCAACCTCGCCCTCCCCAAAACCACACCCACCCACCCTCACGAAACCGCACCATCCACCCTCACGAAACTGCACCACCTTCCTCCCCCTTCCACAAAAAAAGCAACCAACAACCATCCAGAAACCCACAACCCTAAAACAATTTAAATAAAAGAAGAGGTTAAAAATGAGTAACTACCTTTTCTTATCTTCAAATATGGCTTTTAAAGGTCAAATTTCACTGTGAGAACACTAGATCTAGAGTTTTATATTTAAATTTGACCATTAAAACCTTGAATTTGAGCTTCAATGGTGGTGATGAAACAAAAAGAGAAGGGCTGCAATGGCGGCAAGAAGAGGGCAGCGAGGAATGGCGACGATGGCAGGGAGGCAGCCACAAAAGGAGGTGGCAGCATATGAATGACAGATAAGGTCTTGGTGCAATAGTGAGAGGATGAAGAGAAGTGAATGACCAAATATTACCCAAACAACAATTTAAATCAAAGGGTTTTGTTTTCCATTCTCTCTTACCCTTTCTTGATCCCATTCCATTTACCCCCTTCTCTTTCTTGATTGGTGTAACAAGGTTTTGAGCCCATCTGCTATCCTTAACCACCTGATCTACAGAGGTCCTTCCGTATAGGGTTACTGTTAGACTGAAAACTATGTAAATCTAGCCTTTTGCAATTTGCATGTTCTGATAAAAATATAGCTTTTATTTATAAATTTTTTGGCTGTTGTCGATTCTTCTTAGCGTCCGACTGTCACTCTCTCATTTCTTGCTCTGCAGTAAGCATTTTTCTGTTGTCATCATAATCTGCTCTTCTTTTACCGCCTATGTACATATCAATTAATGTTCACGTCTAGACTCCATAGCAGACGTCGTTCTAGTTTTGTGAAGAGTTAGCTTGTAGATAGGCAATTGCCATATTCAGCTTTTCATGCTCTATCTTCTGAATGTTTAAACTTGTAGACTTGTAGTAGCAGATGAGTTTGTCCAGTGCAATAAATAGCATATGGTGATTAGTTTTGTGTCATTAGTTCTCCTTTTTGTATGAGGTAAACCTGTTACATCTAAGGATTTCAGTATGTGGGCTTATGCTCAATGGTTGCCCACTAAGAGACATGTTTTAACTCTCATAGAAGTATCAGATATACAATCTGTATAAAGAACATAACATCTTAAACCACCACTGGTGAAGCCACTTTTGATTTTGTTGAAGTACGGTGAATCTTAGAACAAAAATGTCAATTCATGAATGTTCTTATCAAGAAGTTGAAGACTCGAAGCTCTATATCTTATTTGTTTCTCAGAAGAGGTGTGAAGTATGCATGGATTAATGCAATCTAACTTTAAAATCTCTATTTTTTTATTTGCAGGATTTTGGGATATGTATGATCCAGAGGGCTACTCTTTATGGTTTTGTGACTATAAGTACAATGAGGAAAATACTGTCTCATTCGTGACCATGAACAAGGTTGGTGGATTCTTACAAAGAATGGATCTTGCTAGGAAGTATGCATTTGGCAAGATGTTGGTGATTGGATCAGAACCCCCATTCAAGGTCAAGGGTTTGTGGCTCTTCCGTGGACAAGAGATCCCTCAATTTGTGCTTGATGAATGTTATGACATGGAACTTTATGAGTGGAAAAAGGTGGACATCAACGATGAGGCTCAAAAGGAGCGTGTCAGTCAAATGATTGAAGATTACGAGCCTTTTGAGGGAGAAGCTTTACTAGATGCCAAATGCTTCAAGTAATGGGTGTTTTATGGCTAGGGAGGCTATGTAGTGGTGGTTTGGTGATGCATACACATATCTGCTACCTCACACTTTCAACTTTAGAATTTGGAGGAATTAATGATTTTCCAAATATTGCTAGAGTTGTGCTTTTAGACGTTTTCGCAGGAGTCATCTGGTTGACAATACTGGCTTTTAGATGGTTTTGCAGGGTCAGGATCTTAGTCACCAGGTTAACAATACTATTCCTTACTGCTTGCTTTTCTAGGTAACCCCGAGGAAAATTTGATATGATAAACGTAATAGTGTGTGACTTTGCAGTATAACTAACATGTTATGCTTATTATTTTACCTGAGAATGGTGATACATTGGGCATTCTAGTTGCCATGTTCCAAGGACTATAGTTGATGTATACATTGATTAGCAAGTTTTAAAAATAGTTCTATAAGTAAATAATGTACAACCCAAAATGGTTTCGTGTTTGGGGTACAAGAGCAAAGAGTCGGCCACAGTCTAATGTTTGAAAATTGAGGTATAATTTAAAAAAAAAAAAAAAATTAGTTTTTTTTTGACACCAAAGTTAATAATTTCTTTTGTTACATTTGGATTTTTTATTTATTTTTATTTTTATTTATTTTTTTATTTTTTATCCAAGAAAATCAACTAAGGGTATGTTCACTTTAATTTCAATTCAGTTTAGCTCTAATCAATTCAATTCCTAATTTTCTTCTTTCATAAACAATTTATTTCAATTTAACTCCAATTAGTTCAGTAGATCATGTCCTAATTTCTAAGACATAGTTAAATTCCTATAAGACAAATTACACTGATTCCATGATAAAATTAATGTCATTTGATTAGTAAATTTATAAGTAATGGTGTTAAGAACTAGGTAATAAAATAATAATCGAGCAATACTCTAGTTTGTTTAATAACAAAAAAAAATGGCTATAATATCGAATGATGCTATAATTTGTATTTTAAAATGAAGCATGAATCAACAAACTAATTTCAAATGAAATAATTATTTAAATACAAATATTACCTCCGTTATATATTATTTACAACGATTTGATATAAAGTAGAGAGAAAAATTATCTGATCGTTGTAAATAATATATAACGGAGGTAGTAGTTATATCATTTAGACATTGTTCGTAACGATAAGAAAGAAAAAAAGGGGGTTGGTGGAAGCGGGAAACAACGAAGACCGGGTAAAGTCGTTTTCCCGCTGAGAGAAAAGAATTAACTGTCAACTTACTCCGACTATCCCTTCTTACAGCTGTCTTTTTTACACCTACACGTGTCCACCTCACACCCGTCGATATTCTCGTTCACATTAACGGCCAATAACCAACCTAACCAAACATTTTCAATTTCCTTTTTTTTTTTAAATTTCAAAAAGATCCAACGGCCAGGGACGCTTGATGTGGACCCCACACATCCTCCCCACTGTCAACGGCTACTCAACCAATCCCATTTCGACGCGTGTCATGCCTCAACCACGTCTCCTACCTCTTCCTTTTTGTCTCTGGCCTGGTTTTTTTCTCTCTCTACTTTCTCTCTCCTATTTTTGTGGCCGACCTCTCGCTTTTCCTCTCTCCTCTTCTTCTTCTCTATTTTCGATTTTCCATTTTTTTTTTGGGTTTGTTCTTCCCTTTTTAATTTTGATTTTTGTTGAATTGATTTATTTATTTATAATCATTTCTTCTAACTACCTATGATTTTCTAGGGTTTCCTTTCGATTCTATCCTTTTCCCCCTTTTTTTAAGGGGAAATTTAACTTTTCATTGTTTTTTTGATGTTTTGTGTTGAGTTTGATCATCATCAATTTCGGATTTGGAGGCTGGATTTGGTTAATTAATTTCCAATTTTGGAAAATTTGATTAGGTTTTGTGATCTATTGTTACTGATTGATTGATTCTGGGTTTGAGATTTGATTGTTGGAGTTAAGAGCTGAGTGATCGTAGTTTAATTTTTGGTGGAAATTGATAAATTGGGGGTTGATTTTTGTATGAAAGAGGAAAGAGTGAATTTATGTTCGAGAGAAGAGATCATGGCAGCAGGTGCTGAATTTTCACCAACATTTACAATTATAGAAACAAGTTATAATAAAGAAAATAATGCATCCAAAATCAAGGATGATGAGTGCTTGGATGATCTCAAGCAAACTACCAACGCTAAGCCTCCTAGGCACATCTCTGTCGTGCGCCATTCCATGAGCTCTATCACTCTTTCCCCGCCTGCCGCCCTCGAGACGGTATAATCCTTACTTTCTCTCTTATGTGCTTAGTATCATCTTATTCAATTAAGCATTTCTTGTGTATAATAATATGCTTTGTTTGTGGCTGCTCAATGTTATGCTTAGTGTGATTATGTTGGTTATTACTGCTTAAGATGCCTTTGTTTGTATCATTGAATGGATGATGTTGAATACGGAGTGATGGAACGGAAACAAGAGTCTACTAAATGTGGAATTTATTGCTAGATACCCGTATTCCCGTAATTGAACAGATGATGTTGAACTCGAAGCAATGAAATGGAGATGAGAATATACTATATGTGAAATTTAGTTATTGGAGAATAGGATGAATTTTTTCGATGGCGATGAGCACATAATTGAGTTACTTCTGTCATTAAAAAGAAGAAATACCATAGAGTTGTAAGAGACCTAGGAGTAAGATGGTGGGAATTGATTTTGAAGATTAATGGTTCTTTTGTTTTGGATAATAATGAATAAAATCAAAAACGATTGTAAAACCATTTACAGCTTCGATTTTAGATTAAGGGTCTGGATTGAGCAACCTTTGATTTTTAAATTTAGTAAAGGAGTTATTAGTATGGCTGCATTAATTGGACCCACTAAGCCACCTTCAAACAGTTTGTTTCTTTTTCCTTCCTTGAGGCATTTAGGTAATATTGATGTATATTTTGTAGTTTATGACACTATATAACAACATATACAAATGTTTGGATTTGAAGAAAGGATAGGGTATCGTGAGTTGAACTAGGGAAAAGGAGGGAATTAAAATAGGACTGAGCCTTTTCATTATTCTTTAATGAACAAAATGGTTCTATAATTGGGTAAAGTTAGAAGGAAATGGACCTGGAGTTAGAACGGTACCACCCAAATCTGATTGGTAGGAATTAAGTCTGAGGTAACTCTTTTTAATAACAGCACTTGCAAAATTGAGTAGTGGCTTTTCCCCATCTCTTCATACAATCTGCGTCATCTGATAGGCTCAAAAGGACTTGGGGGTTTCATTGTGACCAGTTGGCTGTTGATTACGATCTGAGAATGAGAACAGCATCAGGAAGCAATTACTCCATATTACAAAGTCATTTAATTGGTTAACAAGTTTAGAATCTTGATAGTCTATCTCCACTTGTAATGACAGGATTTTTGCTGCTAGAACTGATTTATATTTGTTTAGGATGTATGTAGTTCTCTATTGCTTTATCTTAAAAATGCTATATACTTGCATCACCTAGCAAAGGCATTTGTGCCTAAATAGCTCAGACCTGAATAATATATTGAAAGACAAGCTTCTTTTTATTTTATTTAATTATTGGAGGAGATACAGGGGGTAGGGGAATAGATGATTTGGGTTTGTTTAGAGATGAAAACATAAGGCGTGCCAAAGTGGGAAATATATAAACATTTTTAGCTTGAAACTAAGATTTCTGGAAGTTTTTTTTTTTTTTTTTTTTTTTTTTTTTTTTTTTTGTTATAATCTTATAGAACTCCTAACATGAACTCTATATATTTGTTCCAAATCAACATTTAATTTCTTACATTTCTGTTTATAGGACTCGGATGATGGGTCTGTTTGCAGTAAAACACCTTCCGATGAAAAACCTGGGTTTCTCCCTGTATATCGCTCTGGAAGCTGTGCTGAAATAGGGCCAAAGCAATACATGGAAGATGAGCATGTTTGTATTGATAATCTCCGCGAACATCTAGGTGCATCTGATGATTTTCCTTGTCCTGCAGCATTCTATGGGGTTAGTTGCTTTTTCAAAGCTGTAAAATTGTTAGATTTAGCATAACAAATTGTTATCAGGTTTAGAAAAGGAAAGGGTGGGTGGGGAGGCTTTGGATGATTTTAAGAACCTGTATTTCAGGTGAAAGTGGGTTTGTTGACATCGTATGAAGTCGCTTGCTGTCTGTTCCTGGTGCAGCACCTCATGTAAGAATGTGGTTCAAATTTTTGGGAGCCACCTGCTATTGGCTGCAAATGCAGCTCCTGCTTATGAAAAATGAATCAAAATTTGTTTCATAGTTAATTATATAGGTCTTTTTACATAAAGTAATTGTTCTGAAGGAAAATCTATTACCTTTTTCATGTTCTTTGAGAAAGTGTCCTTGTTGCCCATCTCAGAGTTTCGATGCATCAATAGATAAATTTTTACAGTACCACTTTGAGTTTTTTTTGCTAGAATTTGTACTCCTGAAATTTGCTGTCCGTGTTGAACTTTCATTGTGACACATGGTGTAGTCTTATCAATCGAGTTTTAAACCATCACTTGAACTCATGAAATGTGTCAGACTTGCCATAAGTATTTTAACCCTTCTACTTCTTGGATCTGTGCCTTATTGCCTTGGGTGTGTTTACATAAGAAGAACCCAATTTAAGAGACCCATGCCTTTTCGAAGTTCTTACACCGGGGACAAATGATTAATTCAAGTATTTGAACTTCTTGGAGATCTTTGTTTAAATTTAGTCCTGTTGGAGCTTGGCTTGTTCTCATTTATACAACTATCATCTTGCTATGGTATATGTTGCTGTGTTAGTGGGATTTTAGAAGTAAATCTACTCTTAAATATTATGAAATTGATAATATTTTCCTATATGAATAGGTATTTGATGGTCATGGTGGAACAGATGCAGCTTCCTTTGTTTGTAGCAACCTTCTCAAGTATATAATTGATGATCCACAGTTTTCAGTTTCTGTGGAGAAGGCTGTTAAGAGTGCCTTCATTAAAGCTGATTATGCGTTTGCTGATTCTAGTGCTCTTGACATTTCTTCTGGCACCACTGCCCTGACTGCCCTAATTTTCGGAAGGTAAGCTACATTTATGTTCTGGTACGGGGAATCGCGTATGAAATTCACTTTATCATTCTGATAAGTTATGATTGTAGAAAAAGCGGCACAAGTACTTGGTTTGTTACTTTCTATAATATGCCTGCCTTTGTGAAACTGATTTATTGTATTTATTTCTTTGTGAAGGACGATGCTAATCGCTAATGCTGGTGATTGTCGTGCTGTGTTGGGAAAACGAGGTAGGGCAGTTGAGCTATCTAAAGACCACAAACCAAATTGCTCATCAGAAAGACTTAGGATTGAGAGACTTGGCGGTGTAGTATATGATGGCTACCTCAATGGCCAGTTATCTGTAGCGCGTGCTCTTGGAGATTGGCATATGAAGGGCACGAAAGGTTCCTCTTTCCCCTTAAGTGCAGAGCCTGAATTGCAGGAACTGGTCTTGACTGAAGATGATGAATTCCTTTTATTGGCCTGTGATGGCCTTTGGGATGTGATGAGCAGCCAGTGCGCTGTAACAATTGCTCGGAGAGAACTCATGCTTCATAATGATCCTGAAAGGTGTTCTAGAGAACTTGTCAGAGAGGCACTCAAGCGCAACACGTGTGACAATTTAACTGTTGTGGTTATTTGTTTTTCGGCAGATCCTCCTAGAATTGAAATACCTCCCACTAGACGGAGAAGTATATCAGCTGAAGGGCTGAATCTATTGAAGGGTGTATTGGATGGTGTCTCTTGAGTTTTTGGGTAGAAATTGTGAAATCTTTACACAAAGAATGGAGGCTGCTTTTTATTTGAAGCAATTATAAACTGTGAAATGGATTTAGGCCTGTCTATTAAGAAGCAGGTGCAAAGAACTAAGGATATGCAGCTATACAAGCTGACGGAGGGCTGTTGAGGCAGGGCAGAGTGCTTGGGAATCTGGGAATGTTGTAGATGGGCCTATTATGAGGATGAATTGTGTTTCAATTCATTTAGAATCATAGTTATGTAGGATGTAATTATTCGGCGATCATTTTTTTGTGCACCAGGAAATAGTAGCAAGAGTTTATTTATGTTGTACGACCAGGATAATTGTTTAGTGCTTGTAGTTGAATAGAAACATTATTTCTTTTGCCCCCATTAATGTACGCAGCAGCTGGATTGGGGGGTATATCACTTGTTTACTACTCTCTTTGTACGAAAATTGCTGTTACATTCTCGTTCAACCCATTGAAATTAAGAATATAACATGATTTTCAGATTGACATATGATTCAAAAATTAAAACCAAACTCCCAAAAAAAAAAAAGAAAGAAAATATTTAATAACTTTATATTGTGTCTAAATTAAGCAATTACAGCTATACTCCTTTCCTTTTTTTTTTTTTTTTTTTTTTATAGGCTAGATATGAAATTGCGTGGAGTTTTAAGTTGTTTAATAAAATTAGCAACTTTTGTGTGTGTGGTTGGTCACACCGTATAACCAGTTAAAACATGAGTATCCCCTGACCAGGTAACCCCTAATCGGTCGAGTTACACCTGATCGAGTGACCCCTAACCGACCGAGTAACCCTTGACCAAAAGTAATCAACTATTCTTTCAAAAAAAATGTGGTTGGCCATACAGTGTCATTTTGTCATATTGCGTGGTTAATTATTACGATATGCTAAGAATTAGTTTTCTTATTCAATCAATTCTGGTGTAATATCTATCTTGAAGCCAAATATAAATTGAATAATTATCAATGACTTATCATACCTATGTACATAAGTGACACGATTAGCAATAAACTACGGGTCAAATCGGTTTGATTTGAATTCATAGCGGGTCATATTGGGTTCAGGTTGAGTTCAAGTCAGGTCAAATCGGTGTTGATAGATTTGTCTTGATTCTTAGTCTTCAATTGCGTAATTTTTGTAATGCATAGCTTGAAATATTTTACCGAACACATCCCAATGACCTCATAGGCTAATATTGTGGCTAACCCATAGTTAAAAACCTTACATCTTAATTAAATTTCTAATCGACCCCTTAATTAACACTCCAGACTCCACCATCACTACACGTGTAAACCATCATTGAAAACCTAACTCCCTTTGGGTCCAATTTTAAAAGTTGAGTCATAATAAATTATCGTGTCCACGCGAGTTGGAATTTGAATCGGATTTGTTACAACGAATTGAACGGGGTCAAAGGACTTGTTCTCTTCACCTGAAACAAGGAGGTCTTGCCTGATTTTCAGAAGGTATGATCTGAATTTGTATAACTGATCTGATTTAATAATTTAACTAAATTTTGACTGCATTTCAACACTAATTTATAAAGAAAAACATTATCGATCAAAATGGAACTTGTTAAATTCGTTTCATCCAAAAAATGTTGTTCCGAAAGTAAGTCACTCTACCCATCCCACATCATTTTCCTCCCTCCCTTTAACATATGTAGTACATGTTAATATGTTATAATATAAAAGAAAACACATTACACAACTCACCCCACTAACTCCTCCATTTATCATTGATTTCTCTCGATTCTAGAATGACAAATGTTATTGATGACGATGAGATAATGAACTGAAATTGACTAATTGAGCTTGTTAAGAGTTAATTTGTCCGGATTAATATGTTTGATTGATTTTATAGTTCCAGGTACTTTTGATGCACCTGATTCAGCATGATGGTGTTGGCGAAGTTAACATTTTAGAGGCACAATTTTTGGTGACCAGGAAATTCTGGAGGTTCGAAAACAATGACGATTATAACATTTTATATAAGTGGGTTAAAATTAAGTCAAAATTAAATAAATTATATTATAGTTAATTATAAATTAACAAAGTACATGAAACTACGTATATATTATTGACACATGCAATTATGGTTATGGCTATTAATAGATTTATCATAAATTTATATCACTCTTCTCATCATATAACTAATATATAAAACTAAACTTTTAGTACAAATTGAATTTTAATGTTATTCAAAATAAATTTTACTTCATCCGCCCACAATTATGTGCAACAAAGGAATATTTTATATCTCACAAATAATACCTCTTTGTTGCACATAATTATGGGCGGAGGAAGTAGATTATAATTCTCAAAATTATCATATAATTTTTTTTAATCATAATATGTTTTGGAGTGGTGGAAGTACTTCAAAACGTAAAATATCCATTTTTAATATATACTAATCAGTTAAAATAGTATACTTTACAATCTAATACTTCGTATAATTTTATTACTATGTAGACTTATCAATCATGGTCGAGTAAGGTCATGAGTCATTTCGGATTGGGTTACTTTAGGTTACGGGACAAGAAATGTTCAACCCTTGCCCAAAGTTTTGAGTTCGGGTCAACCCTACGGACTTTGAACATTTTTTTTTATTTAATTTACTTTTTGCTAATTTGTTTTAATGTATTTAATTGAACATTTTCACCAATATTATTATTAGTCATTACATGGCTACTAGATAGCAAATCATCACAAAAGTATATCAATTGCTAACTAATTTTGTATCAATGATATATTTTAAAATTTGACAAATTGATAAAAAATTTATATTAAATTAATAAACACAGGCATCGCACGGGGCACAAAACTAGTATTATATAATTCTATATTAAACAACTTATTATATCTTATCATTCAAATATTTGTAACAAGAATTTTTTTACAAAATAAGAGGGGTCAATTGACCCCATTATATTGAACATAGATATGCTCTTGTTCCAATAACAAGTCCTGAAATATGTTGTCAATTTGGATGCATCTGATCTCTCAAATTTTTACATTATTTGCTTACCTAAGTCATTTCACGGAGTAATTTACATAACAATTGCATAATATAAAACTTCCCACGAGGTCACCCATCCCAAGACTACTCCCAGCCAAGCACGCTAAACTTTGGAATATCTTAGTATATGAGCTCCCTAAAAAGAAGATGCATCTTGTTGATATGAGTAGTATATCAAATCTTTTTAAATCAATCATGAGGGGTATTACATGTGGTGTTTGGGTCCAATTAACTTCAATTGGGTCAATCTATAAATGTGTTAATTACAAAAGCCCAAAGCAAGGTTCAACTCTCCATTCAAGTGCAAGGTCAGTCAGAGGTCCAGTTAATGTGGCTAGCTCATTTGATTTGAGGCTCATTTATCTATTGGGTAAGGTATAAAAACCTTCACTCTTCTCTCTCTACATTCATTCACATTAAGCTTCAAGCAATTAATTCTCTTGCATAGCTTTCTCTCTCTAGAAACATTGAACTGACTTCGACATCGTAGGGGCCTTGACACAACCCTCTTTACATGTGTTTGCCCAGTCATAACCTTACATGTGTATTTCAGTGAATTATTGTGCTGCAAACTCTTTTGCATCCCATTTATGTCCTTTTTAAACTATACAATCATTGCTACAGGGCATTATGACTTATGAATATGTTATTGCTATGCAGACTCAAAGTGATGAACCACCCAGACTAGTGGCGGATCTTGGATTATTTTCTTTTGAGGGCCAATAATATTTAACATAATTGAAAGATTGTTTTCGTCATATTAAGTCAATGATATATGACAAAATCAATAAGTAGACAAATATAGTATTATATATGATTGTGATTTGTGAGAGTAGTTGTAAATAGGAAAAACGTCAGACTTTTAAAGGGATTGGAATGGGGTTTCTAGGTAAAATTAAAAGAATTCAGTTATATTTTGTAAGTAGTTTATTGGGCTTTTACATGTTCATTTATTTTATTGGACTCAGCTTATATATACTTCATGCTTTTACGTTACAAATTTTTCCCTAGACTCTAATTCAGGGAATTATTCCTACAACCCCCCCCCCCTCCCACCTTACTACATCGTTTCATCCCCCCGCCATTTTTGTAATTTTTTTTTTATCTTTCTATTCAAGCAATTATACAATGATTTCCTTAACCTAATTTCCTTTTTTATTTTCTCTCTTCTTTTACCTATTTCATTTTCTCTCTTTGTTTTCATGGAGATTTGTAGCTCAATTTCATTTGATCGTGACCATGATTCTAGCTCAATTGCTTTCGATCGTGACTGTGATTCTATTTTTCCGCCTGGAGTTGGTTAACTCGACTCTTTTACTAATCAATGTGAGTAATTTTTCATTCAATCAATCAATCAATTTTGATTATGCTCTGTTTTTCGCGTGTAATTATTCGATTACATTTTTTATTTCATTGTTTTACTAATTGTATAAATTATAATTTATGTAAGTTCTGTTTTGCTAGTTGTTATTGATGTTATTTTTTGATTCATAGTTTGGTTGCATTGTTGTTGTATATCAATTGTTATTTGTTGTATAATTTTTTGATTCATAGTTTTGGTTGCATTGTCGTGATTTTATTTTATTTTATTGTGATGTTATTGTTTTATTGATGTTTTTTCCAGTTTTGTGCATTTTATATGAATACCTATATTTTTATTCAACTAATTTCATCAGTGTTTTGCGTCATATAAAAATATTGCAAATTGATTTAATGCTCATGTATGTCAAATTATATGTTCATTTACGTTTACATATGTGTAGTAACGTAATTCATACTTATGTAATTATAAATGTTCATTTATATGTTTTATTATCAGTTTAATTATTATTTTTTGTTCAAAATAGATGTTCATTTATGTAATGATGAATAATCATTAACATTTTACATGTGGTTATTGTATTGTTATTTATTATATTCTTTAATGTAATTGAACATTATTGCTATTGTATGTGTTCATTTATTATATTTTTTATTATTACAGTGGAAAAAAAAATTAAAGGATGCTATTATTTTTCAAGAAGCAACTAGTTCTGAATTTTTTGGGAAGCAATTTCCTTTTGAAGATGTGGCTTATGAATTATTAAATGAATATGCTTTTAGAAAGGGCTTTGGAATTAGAATTGGAAAAAGTAAGAGGCGAAGAGATGATTCATTCTCTATCAAAAGATTTGTTTGTACTAATGAGGGTTTTAAAGATGATAATTGTAGGAATAAAATATCCTATGAGAGACTTGACATAAGGACTGGTTGCTTAGTTTTTATTTAGTTTAGTATTGATCATTTAGGTGTATATACATGTACAAGACATAAGATGGTCCATAATCATGAAATGATTCTTGTTGACAAGAGATATTTAATAAGGTCTCAAAAGGATATTTTAAGGAAAACATTAATTTCATTTCTACACTTAGATTGAGTGTAATTAAAGTTTCTGATTCTTTGAGAGCTTTGAAGAAGGAGGTTGGAGGTTCTCCTAACCTTTGTTTTACCGCTCCTGGTCCTTATAATGCTATTTCGGCTGAAAAGAGAGCTAAACTTGAGGGAGGGGACAACAATCAACTATGCAAAAAGACAAATTGATGAAGCAGATTTCTATTATGACTTTGAACAAGATGAAAATGGTGCATTGGTTAGTTTTTTTTGGAGAGATGGAAGGATGATGAGAGATTATCATTACTTTGGTGATTTGTTAGTCTTTGATACTACTTATAGGACCAACAAATATGGGATGAGGATTATTAGGGGGTTAAGAGGGATTTAACAAGCCTTCTATTTGTTTAGAGGGATGAGGATTATAAGGGGGTTAGGAGGGGGATAAAAAAAAAAAGGAGTTATCCCTCCAAATTAATGCAACTAAGGGGGTGATATAAGGACTGGGAATTAAATTTAATAGGTAAAAGACTTTTCTACCCTTAATGAAAGAAAAAGAAGAGAGTGAAGAGGGTTAATAAGGGTAATTTTGTATTTTTATTAATATTTTAATCTAATCCCAACCTATACCAAACAATGGAATACACTATTTTTATCCTTATCTATCTATTAATTTCACCTTATCCCATTTAATTGCATCCCTCCTACCAAATGCCCCATTAGGGTATAAATGTCCTCACACTATTTTTAAGAGTTCAAAAGAAGTGGCAATTAACATTAATAATGACAAATAAGTAAATATGCAACTTATGATCTTTTGAGGCAAATAAGTAAATGATGGCAAAGTTAACGGGTTGTCAAAGGTAATTCAAAACCATAAAACGAACTTTCACTCTATATACTAGTCAAGTACTCAAAAATTCAAATGGAGAGAAAAATACAGGCATTTGATTCTGCAAAAACACAGTGAAATGATCTGAAAGACAGTTAACATTAGGGTGTACGACCGTGACAGTACAGACATCGCTTGAATGTTTCTCTCATTAGAGGATAATGTTTCTAAGAATCCTTGTCATACAAAATTTGTACTACCTCCGTTAAATGTTATGTGTAACTTTGGAATATTTTATATCTCACAAATAATACCCCAAAATTACACATAACATTTGACGGAGGTAGTATTAAACTTTTTCTTTGGGGACCGGAGAAAAGCAAAAGGATGACACTATTTGTACCACTATCTAGCCCTATTGATGTGATGGAACTCTTGAATATAGCAGCGAGAGTTCATCGTTCACGAACGTTTGGATTGTATCAGAGTAGTAATGTGACACAAGATTAAAAACTGTGCTATAGAAGCTTGGAGATCGAAGGCTTCAAAGTTCATCCTCTATATCATCATCATCGTCACTTTCAGCTTCCTTTTTCGAGCCACTGCACAAAACAGGAAGATTAAAAAGGTTTCAGGAAGATGTAATAGAAGCACAGTTCCAGCAAATTTAGATAAGGGTTACCAAGATCTTACTGATAAAAGTCAAATATAGGTAAGTTCAGGTAATTCCTTATAGGGCCACTAAGTTCGAATATGTTCCAATAAGTTCATACAAATTTAATTTACTTTTAAACTTCAAATAATAGAATTAAACATAAATTGGGAAACGGACAGAGGAAGACTTGGTCCAAAAGTTCAATAAGCATCATGACAAACACAATAAGTTAACTAAATAAAGATGTTGACTATAATGGAAAGAAAAATTAGTTAAAAAGAAAAAACTAATTGAAAAAAAAGGGTAATCAATATTCATCTAAGATAATCAATTCAAGGATAAAGAGCAATTTGTTCTCTTTAAGTAAGAAATGTGTGAGGCGAAGAATCAAATAGCCATTTGCAATGCACCACCAAGAACCCCCAGACAGGATGTAGTGTAGTGTAGTGATTTGATTTAACAATTAGCTTCTAAAAGAAGATCAGGAGATTTTGTCGCACACCAGTCATCATCATTGCTGTTCTCTCCCTTCCTCACCTTCGGTGCCAATTACCCTGCAACCTTCCTAACCAACCGCACAGCATTTTTGTTTTACTGTATAGCCACCATTTCTACCCTTGTCATTCTTTCCTCACCCTTCTTAGGCCTCACTGCCTTCTCATGCAATGTGTTGATCTAGCACAGTGGTTTATGTCTGGAATTCTAGTGGTTCACTGTAGCCTATGAGTAGAGGTGTCAAAAGCACACCCGACCCGACCCGATTCGAAACCGATCCAAAAATTATCCGATTCAGATTTGAACTCGCATGGACATAATAATATAGTATGACTCAACTTTGAAAATTAACCCGACCTGACTTCATCAGACCCGATCCGATCATCCGAATTGACACCCCTACCTATGAGGCACACAGTTATTGGCAAGGAGATAAAATTGAACCACCAAATGCCTAGAATAGGCCATTCCAGTCTTCAGCAATGATGATGTGAGCAAGACTGGCCATGGACACACCAAGAGAGAGGCATATCAGTGACAAGAATGAGGTAAAACATGGGGAACAGGAAGGGAAGGTGCCTGCATTCTGGGTGATAAAATGTAGCTTCATAGCGAGTAGGAATAGGATGACAGAGAGAACTTGAGAATACGGTGATGATGGGTTGTGGAGGTGGGATATCCCTAGACAATGAGGGAAGTGATCAAGGAAGAGGAATAAGAAAGACCGAAAAGGGTGGGGTGTTTTTTTTTTTGTGGGGGGGGGGGGGGAGGGGGTTACCATTTCCAACTGTTACATTTGTATTTTTTTATTCAGCTACACTCCGGATGAACACGCAATATCATTATCGTCAACCATAACCTTAGGATTCTTCTTTTCCAGATATGTTTCAAATTTCCATCGATACTTTAAATAAACAATAGTACACGGTCCAAACAAGCCTATCAAATCTTCTCCCTCTTCCCTATAACAACCACCACCTGGATTATCCTAACCCCTCACATAGTCACATCTCTAGCTATGAAGCTTTTGATTGATTGCCATCATTAAGGTTTTGTCTATTCTAAAATGAAGCAATCTGGGCCTTGGCAGCTAGGCTAGTCCAGAGTTCCCATAAGAAGGAAATGGCAGTGAATTTTCAATACTCAAAATCATAATTGACTTAAGTGACGAAAAAACACAAGGAAAATCCCAGATGACTTTAGTTTAATTGTATAGACATGGTCATCTTGAAGTCTAAGTGACTCCTGCATAGTACCACAACCCTTTTATAGCTATTTGTAGGGATCTTCGATGGAAATGTTACAAAAGTCCATCAGTGTGAAAATTGTAGACTACAAAGAGCCCTAGTGACTCCATTATGCTTCTGATAGTCACCAATTTCTTAAAATAATAGTCAATCTCCACTCTCCAGGGTCATATTTATTCAGCTCTATTTACACAGAGTTGCAAATAGCTAGAATGTGCATCACTAGGGTGTATTCAACAGTCAAACTAGATACAGAACCTATCTCCAAGCAGGAAGAACCTTATTAGTTACCCGTCTAGGCTAATACAAATGTTTCTCATTAACTACTTCACAGTTCACACACATGCTGCTATAATGTTTCAGATATTGGAGGGATAAAATTATTAATGTATCATAGAAGAGTGCATGGGTACAATTGCCCAAATATAAACCACTCCAAAAGGCTGCTTAGGGGATTGATCCTTGTGGTAGCTGGCTTGCTGCTGTTATCTCCGGCATCATTGTTTTGAAATTTTACAGCAGATTCTAATCTGATAGCTAAAACACCCATTCTCATATGACTAAATGGTAGGAATATCTTCTACAATGTATTTGGCCTTAATTTTTAAAAGTCAAAAGTGTGTGAAATTTGAAGCTGGGTAGCCTTGCTAGAGATCTTCAGCTGGTGCTTGAATAGATTGAATAATATACAGTATAAGTTACTAATATCTTTATGAATAAGACCATAAGAGTAAACCTGCTGAATTTTGACCACTAGAAGACTAGAACACTGCTTGCAGCTTAGATGTTATTTGTTGTTATTGTTGCTGTTTGTGCATTAAAATTCAATGTTTTATTTCACTCCAAAGTTCTCAAATCTTATCTAAGAACAACTACACCATTCTAGTACTTGTTAAAATCTAATGCACTCAGCTTCACTTCCAGAAAACTCCAAAGTTATTTTACTTGAATGGATGAAGCTGGGCAGCCTGGCTTGAAATTGTTAACTGTTAAATAAATATATAGATAAAAATCCCTGCCCAAGGACTACACTCCAAGTTTTCCTAGAACCAGGACTAGGATATCCTACCACTATAGCAGTACACTTATCAGCACTCTTTTTGACATTCTTACCAAAAATAAATTTTACTACCTCCGTCCCATATTTCAGTGCCCGTTACTCATATTTCACAGTTTTTAATGCAAATGAAGGAAGTATAAAAAACATGTGTGAAGAACATGGAAGTAATATAAAAATTACTACATTTTGTTTTCTAGTGGAGACAATAATGAAAAAGCATGAGTGAAGTACATGTGGGCACCAACTATGAAGGGTATTTAGGAAAGTTTAGTATGCTAAAAGGTATAAAGTGGAGGAATGTAGGTAATTGTCCATAAAACAAAAACAGAAATAGGCACTCGAGTTTGGGACACTAGAAAAGGAAAACAAGCACTTAAAAATGGGACAAAGGGACTATTTACTAATGGTACAAGATATATCCAGATGACGATAGCATTTAGTTCATAATTACCTAGTCTTTCTGCAGTGTTGGCTAAGATCCTCGCATAACACCTTGCCCACAGCTCCAAGTTCAACAGACCCATTTTTTATCAACTCTGCCAACTGCAACACCAATGAAAAGTCAGAACGATCAATGTACAGATATTCCACATGAGTGGATTCAGAAAGAAGTGAACCAGAAACTTGCCTCATCTTCAGTTTGCTCCAGCAACCTACTCCATTATAATATACAGAAATTAGAAATCAATTTCCTTAATCCAACAGAAAATAGGTAAAAATGTTCGTGTCACCGGAACTAACCTTCCACAGTAGGATGATATATCTTTAGAATGTGCTCGGGCTTCTTGCTTGCCTAAAAGCACACATGAAAAATCCGGTTTCATTAATAGTAGTTTAGAGACCATATAGGACATATACTGAGATATGCAGGTTTAGTTGACATCCACAGAGGCACACACCATTGAGGGATGAGGATACATGCATAGGTCCACAAACTAATTTTATTTCATGTTTATCTAATATAGTAATTTGGCATAAGCCCACACAACCCACCCCCCTCCCCCTGGGGTTTAAAAAACACAGCCAAACAGAGAAGACAGATCCGCTAATGTGAAAACATTGCCAAATTCTTGCCCTGTATCACTCTCTTTTCCCTTTCTTCTAGACCTAGTCACAAGAATTAGAATTATATGCAAATACACTACTCAACAAAATTCTTTAACTGGGTTGAAGTACTTCAGAAATATACAAAGTACGAAAATTACATTAGATGCAGTGACAAAACATGAAAACTGCTGCTATTTTTTAATATTGTTCCTCTTGTAAAAGGTTTTGATGCTCTGTCCTTGAGGAAGATCCTGATACTATTTATTCAACTGTTGTTAAAAATGTTGATAATGAGAAAGGGGATGTAGCTCACCCCCCTTCACTCAATGGGTAGATGAAAAAGTTGGAAAGTATGGTGTCATAACTCATAATAGCCACAACAAGAATGCAGAGAAAAGGAAGTTGATTGTTGTTCATTCCAGTGGCATAGTGGTAGTTAAGACTCTTGGAGACAAAGGTTAAGGAATGGAGCTTTCATACCAATTACCAAAACCTTTGTCCTAGTTGGGGGTCAACTACCAACTATCATTGCTTAGATAGAGATAGGATACTATTAACTGTGTGGATGCTCAACATTGTCTTTTTTTTAAGTCATTTGGTGCAGGGTTTCCTCACTTCAAAAAGGGGTTGGGTCCTTCAACTCGTTTTTCTTTGGGGTGCATTTAGCCTCTTTCGCTATGGGACCTTGTAGTGACATTTAGCTTCAAAATGTCTAGGGAAAATCTATGATCCTATGAAATGGGATTTCTTAGAAGATAGATGCCTACCCAAATTCACTTGGATTATAACCATTAAAACTTCTCTTTCCATTCCATATACCAACTCTGTAAGAATTCTTCTCTGGAAATTGTGGCTTAATATAAGGTAAGGGGGCCCTCTTTCTCCCTTGTCCATTGTCATTGCTATGAAATTTTGTTTAGGCTGCTTGGATATGTTGGTGAAAATTTTTAATCTTTCTTTTCATTATAGAGAGATGTGAAGGTCTGAATTAGAGCCATTTGCACTTTGCTTATAAACCTTCAATGTTCTTCCATGGAGGCTTTAGTCTCTTTGGTGGATGCTTAGAACCACTGCTTCTTCCTTTCATGCTTCTGGTCTCTGTGCTTAAATTAACTCCAAGCCTAACATTGTTCTAATATATCTCATGAGTTGATCAATAGGGTTGTTGATAATTTGATATATTTGGAGACTCTGGGTTCTCTACCTTTTGGTTATCTCTATATCCTCTAAGCAGCTTCATGTTGCTGATTGTGATATCTTTCCTGAGAAATAATCTCTAGAATTAGAATGTGAGGTTCAAGGCACATATTTTATTAGCCTTCAGTGTTCACTCTACCTAATTGTGTGCAAACTAAAGTGGTGGCGGTCTGCAGGCAATTCCTTTGGAGTGGTAAAGTCTATTATCCTAGTTGCTTAGGAATTTATTTGTAACTTTACGATTTTTATGTGTGTGTGTGGTGGTGGTGGTTGGGGGGGGGGGGGGTATGATCTAGGTGCTTAGGGAATTGGGTATATATGTCTAATATGTTGCAGGTAACTTGATAATCTATAGGTCAAATGAGTAAGCATGTTATCTTTGAATAATTTCAATAGAAGGAATTCTTGTGCTCCCTTTGATGCCAGTTGATATTGGAAAAAAGTTGTAAGATCATATAGAGATTGTTAGAAGAAATAGGAGATAAGGAATAAGAGGGTCCGGATATATATTCTAGGCACGTAACATAGCCGCTTTCCTAATAGATTATTATCAACCCTCTACAAAACAATGGGGATATCATGATAAACCTATTGGGATACAAAGAAGAGAATTGATTTTGGTTGTTTAACAAAATCAATCAACAAAAATTTTGCATACAAGTCTTTGTCAAACCAAGGGAAAATACTCTAAAAGTATTTCACTCTAAAAAAAAGGAAGCCCCAAAATTATTTTTCTCGTAATCATCCATCATATATGTCACATAAAATCTTTATTTTAAAGAGCATATGTGAAGAGCAGTTGATAACCAACAGACATGTCTGTTCACAAAGAAAACCATTCAAAAATCACTGGTAACAGTCAAATTTGAATATTGCCCGGTCGGGCACGCAACATATCATGGAAAAACTTGTTATAAGCTGTCAACAACCCGCCCAGTCATACCGGGGGTGCGCATAATCTTAGTAAAACTAAGATGATAGGCGAAATCCTAACTTGTGCTCGCCTAACCGGACAAATCACAAATCAATTGATTTTGCCTTTTGTTGCCACATTTTGCGCAATTCTCTTTTCATTAATACTATAATTATTATACTAATCCTTCTCAACTCCTGGTAAAATACAAGTCTCATATATGAACCATAAGCACATTTATCTATATATATGTTCCAACAGAAATTTGCACCAAGTTACTTGGCAAGTTATGGATTACTTATCCTAGGGGGTGCACTATTAAAACTTTAAAGTAGATGCTATTGGCTTAAACCTCAAGTGCAAAGAGTTATCTGGCATGTTCAGGTTTGGAACAAGTTTAATGTCCCTAAGCATACACTTCATGTGTGACTGCATTTATAGTCAGCAATGTTCAACTGCTGTGGATGATAGGCTGCAGATCTGAATTGAAGTTCATGCTTTAATGATTTGAAAATATATCAAGGTATTAGAATGCCAAGAAAGTGATGCTGTATGCCATAGCTGCTATTGTTTAAATGGTTTGGAGATCTAAAAATAAGGCTTCTGGGATTTTGGTCCGACTAAGGAAGAAAGGACAGCTAAAGATGTATTATAATTTGGTCATTAATAGAATTAGAGCTATCATTCTCCATTAAAACTACAAGGGTTGACGGAGAGTGGTTTGAAATGTTGTAACATTTCCATCCTATGAAAATTTAGTCTTTTGATGTTTGAGTTGAGTTGATCCCTATCTAGTAGGTTCCTCCCCCTCTTTAATCTTGGTTTGTTTAATGCATGGTTGATTGAGAAGAAAAAAAAAATCCTATAGTGATACTTATAATAGAGCAGAGGGAGAGAAAAGGATGGAATGACACTAAGCTAGCAAGTACTGATACATACTAACTGTGAGTTTCTCCCAGTTGTTAACTTTGATCCACTCTTGTCTTTTGGAATCAACCTGCATCGAACAAAAGTAATAATTTGCAATTAGCCCTAGTCTCATTGTGCACCACGCCAAGCAAAATCATCCTCAAGATAACATACAAGTATGACTGGAAACTTTGATAAAGTGAAATAAAATAACAATAACATTGATTGCTTAATGGAGCTGAGTACACAAATCGCATTGTGGATGGATTTGTTGAAAGCAAAAAGGGTAGATTTCCAAGCCAATCCAAGACTCACCTTTTGAAGAGTGTAATCCTGCATCTTTTCACAAAGGCCATCCAGTAGTTCAACTACTCTTAGCTCGCTTACTCTAGAAGAAATTGCAAAATATAGATCATGCAGTTAGACATCACTTGCAAATATAGAGTAAATGGCTGTGAGCATAAGCATGGTCCATTAATGGAAAGAAACTTTAATCCCAAATTTCCAACCCTGGAAAAGAGGCCAATTTAATACCAAACTCAATCTAGATTGTTCATGTAGTTTGGCTACTTATGGCTCGACAATGGGTATATCTCTACTCTCTCCTCATCGCATGGGTCTATCGTTTTATCTCAATTTATCTCTCTTTCCCTAAGATACCGTGCATCCCCTCCATGTTGCAACTAAAAGAGAACAGAGGTAGTTTTTTTTTCTGAAATAATATACATAGCCTCATGAAAGTACTTAAGATAGATGATATGTTCAATAAACAATACATACATTTAGCAATTATCCTGATGAATCCTTAACCATATCCAAACTCAGTTTGTAGCACAAGCTTGAAGATAAAATTTTAAAGTACAAGGGTTAGTTTGGCAAAGAGTCTGTGGGATAATACCTGTAATCAATCACTTTTCCTCTACGTTGTCCCTTTGAATCCAAACGATTTCTCAAATCCAAATGATTCCTTGGTTTCTCCTGAATCATTTTTTTAAAAAAAACATTAAGTTTCATAAAAGTGAATATTCATTATAATTTATATTATGCAAAGCAATACTTCCAAGATATAAAAGTGTCATGACAAGCAATGAAGCTTGTATTAATATGATGTTGAATGGTGAACTCTCAACAATCAATCAATTAAACACATTTAATACTTCGTAAACCTCAAAAGTCACGATACACAAATGTACTTATTTTTTTGCAACTGAACATATTTAAATACATCTGAAGTGTTTTGATCACCAAAAAATGACAAGGAAGCAATCCAGGAGATTGGGTGGAGAGAACTAATAATTAACTACGAAAAATTCTGTACGTGCATACCATTCCATCTGAAGACTTTAAGTCAAAATAATCAAGTGGTAGAGGTGAAAGGGGATAGCAATGGTTCTGCAATTACCCAATTTTAGGTTTAATAATTTTTTATTTTAAAAAAAAAAAAAAAAAAGAGCATATTTTTGTTGTCAAACTTAGATGCAAGGAGTCAAGCAAGAAATGCATTGATAGGAATATAGGTTGCACGTGAATTATGGTGTTATGCTAAAAATTGAGTTACCACAACTGAGGATATGGATGGCCAACTTGCTTCTTTGCACCCTATATCTCATATATCTGCTCTGGAGATCTTGTAATCTGATAAAGTTCATGGAATCATATGGTTTCCAACAATAAGGGCATGCTATATCATATCATGTGTAGTCATAAAAATGCTACAGGTGTAAAGGGCACGCCTAAACATACAGTCCAAGCACTTAACACAGACAATATTAATAATATAGATAATCTCTATCAAAAATTCTTGTCCAGTTTAGAGGAATGTTTGTGCTTGGAAACCGTCTGTGCCTTATAACTTCAGCAGAGTTTTTTGCACGGATTGTAGATGCTAGGATCCTAAGCAAGAATAATTTATCTAATTTCCTAATACTCCTAAGTCCTAACCTCGCCAAGACCATGCCATGGCCAGTTTCATTAATTGACAAATGACAGCGAACATTTCATGACTTTCTTATAGGAAGCTGCAAAAGCTTCTAAGCATATAGATATGTTGTTCACTCAAACTTACAAGTTAGACAGCTGCAGTATGGGTATCCCATATTCTCTAATCTTCGGATAATATCATTAAGGAAGCTACATCTGTTTCTTTTGTCCATAAGAAACATACATCTATGACAATATTTCAAAAATGAAGCTCCAAAACACCAATCAATTACGATAGCCACCACTTGCACATATATTTCTTGAATTCATCAATACAATTTAAGACAAGGCCAACAATTTAAACTTCCTCTCCTCTCATAAGATACATCCAACATAATATATTATAATGCCAATCAAAACAGCCAAAATTCGATTATAGCAAGCTTCATAATTTCTGTTACAAATCCCTGACCGATAATTTCGCAACATGAGTAATGGCCAACTGAGATTATAGAGAATAGTATTCACATAAAACCAGAGTTGAATAATGAAATAAAATTGAAACATAATACTTTGCAACAACAAATTATGAGCACAAAAGTAAGGAATAATAAATCAAACAAACAAGAAATACAATAAAAAAAATGTGAAATTGCTGGTGCTTACATTAGCAAGCCCATGCTCCAGCTCTTCCTGCAAGATTGAAAAAAAAAACAAAATTCAGAGAACAACGAATCATTTCAATTTCTCAAATTGAAAGGAAAATTTCATTGATTGAGACGAATTATCAAATGCAGAATTGCAGATCTACAACACTATCAATTGAAAGAGATGAATGAATTGAATGAGAGAGAAAGAGACCGCAACAGCATGGCAAGCAGCGCATTTGTCGTCAATGGAAGCAGCGAAAGTTAAGATGGTGAAGAATGTGGCAAGCCATAACCAGGATGCCGCCATTGTTGTGTAAGCTTCAGATGTTCTGCTCACCAAATGCTATATTGTTGGAACTTGGAAGACGACTCGATCGACTCCACTCACTAGTCGTCTAGACTTGTACTCCGAATGCAGTGATCAAAATAATTGAAAGTTGTTGAACGGCAAAAGGGTTAGAAAGGTCCTAAATTAGATCGGACTCGAGTCGAATCTAATAGGGCCGTATACAGCCATACAGGTCCAAAACTAGACTGGACTAGATTGAATTGAAGTGAAATTGATATTGGGTAGGGAAAGAAGGTTGGAACTATTTGTCTCGATGAATTGAGGACCATATCGGCATAGTTTTCAACGGTTTGGACAATTTATCATGAAATATATTGTTAACTATCAACTTTGTTCATATTCTTTACTATTAATCATATATGTCCAATATCAAACTAATACATTGGTACGCATGTAAGTTTGACAATGTCAATTACTTAATTATTCAAAAATCGAGGAAATAGAAAATAGTTTATTTATTTTTTAAAAGAAATACAATTCTTCGACAAAATAGTAGTCTTTCGTATATTCTAAGCACAATACAAAAGCAAATGATGTATAAAACATATCCAAATTTGAAATAACCCTTAGGCCTTCATAGATCATTGAATAAGAATCGACATTAAGGTGTCATTCAAGTGATGTCATGGTGTCTTTGTCTAAGGCTAACTAGATGGTTTGGGTGACACAGCCTGACACTTAACTAACTTGTGCTTTTTAGGGACCGAGATCTCACCTTATTGTTGGAAAGACTTGCATATTTAGGTGTTGTCTCAACAACTCGTATTTTCTGAAAGTTGAGCGATCCACCATACCAAAGTTCTTAAAGATAAGCTTGTTAAGTGTCCATCATCACTTTTTCCCTACACATTTTAACAAGTATAGTCTTGTAATTATATAGCTCAAATCCTAAGGCAAACTTCGTTGTAAAGATTAATCATTAACTTGTGAAAAAAAAAAATGCTAAAGATTAATCATTAACTTGTGAAAGCAAACATATGTTGAATGTTATTACGAGTAATTTGTTATTATAGCAATCGAGATTCAAGGGATTTAAAGGCTATGTCCTCAATAATATTTCAATTGAGAAAATATTGTGTTAATAATGATTGATAATGCTTTACTTGAAGAATGAACTTCCAAATTTCAATAATATTTTATCCATTTACAACAAGGATTTCCTTTCAAAGTTTAAGAAAGCTATCTCTATAACCAAGTCTTAGTAATAATCAAACTACTTTTTGAGGTTGAAGAATTTTCATTTTGGTGGGGTAAAAATTAATGCTTCAATATTTTACTTTTTACTCAAAAATTGAAAATTGAACTTTCCACCATAAAGCATATCTATAGACTTTTGTATATAACTTAGAACCATAAATAAATCTTTAATATGTCATCTTTATGAGTTGGTCAGATGTATATATTTCTCAAAACTTCAATTCCTTATGAGATGAATAATAATGGAATTTTGTTGTATGAAGTTTAAACAATATATGTATGAAAGAATTCTAAGATAGAAATTAAGATCAACATTTAGACAAAGTGGGAATGCCACAATTAGTTGGTTTGAATTATATATATTGTGAAATGCCTTATATAGGAAGGATTGAATTTTCCAATCATGATTTGTTTGAATTTCTTCAACTACTTTTATAAAAGAACAAACAATATATGTACATGTATAACAATAATTCATGTAGTATAAGTTTTAGCAACTAAAACTTTGACTCAATTAAATACCTTAAATGCTAAAGACTAGGCCAAATGAAAAGATTTGCATTTCATAACAATAATGTTTTGAACTTGTGACATGTGAGATCAAACTCTACTAACGAGCTGAGCCTATTGGTTGGGAACAGAGTTTTAACCTATAATAAATATTACACTCAAAATCTTAATTTCAAAAAAGCCCCCAAAAGGCCCATACTTTGTACATTTAACCACATTATATGAGATCAATCAACTTGTTGATACTCAAATGTTACAAGTGTAACCACCCATAATCATAATCATGCCTTGTACCCACAAATATTTTTTTAAACAAAAAACAACACATGATCATGTCTTAATGAATATACTTTAGGAAAAAAAAAGTACATAAATCAATTAATAAATTATACATACTCCGTAACTTCATTTCATCGAAAAAGAGTTACATTTAGTATTGTCTTAAATAAGTATTGATATCAAATTTCATTTCAAAGGCGGTTGAAATTAGAGAAAATACAAGTTTATCACGTCAATAAACAAAATGACAAAATTGTAAATAAAACAATTTTTTACTCTGTATCAAATATGAGTCCATATTTGTTGATAGAAGAATTACGAAATAATCATGCTAAGTGGACGTTTTATTGATTTATTTACGATTTAGCCCATGATAATCAATGTGATAAATTGAGGCTCCGTTTTCAAATTATCAATTTAATTTATTTCGCTTTTTTAGAAAAAGTAGAGTGTGGAGAGAGAATGACATATGGGATTGGATAATGGGAAAGAGCAAAAAAAAGAGTCGCTTTTGATGTTGTTAAGCGTATTTATCAGTGTGTCCTGTCTCAATTTTTTTTACTATGTAAAGAAAACAAAACAAAAGAAATTCCACTTCCTATTATTATTATTATTATAAAAAGAAAAAGAAATTGTGTGTATTTCTACTTTTCCCACCTCCTCCCATTTATCATCTTACATCTCTTTTGGATCTTCTTCTTCAACACTGACATAACCTAATAATCTTACTCAGATTTCATCATCTTTGTCTTTTTTTTTTTAATTTTCAAATTCTCATTTTGTTTTTTCCCATAAAATTTATACACCCATTCTTTGTATTTTTATCAGAGTTGCTGATTTTTTTGCAAAATGCTTGGTAAGCTTCTCTTTTTAACTTTTTTTTTTCTTTCTTTTCTTTTCATTTGTACTGTGAATTTGTTGAGTTTTGATTTGGAAATTTGTAGTGGGTCTGTTGTTTTTAGTTGGAATTATAATGGGTTATAAGTTGAATTTCACATGCAATTTAAATTGATGATTTTTTTCACAGATCTGGTAATCATTTCTTGGTTTATTTGCTGATTTCTTATATGATTATGGTTAGATTATGTCTTCATTATTCTCATGCTAGTTATATATTGAACTTTCAAATGCCAAATTGTTTCTGGGTTTCATTCTCTTTTGAATTTTGCATTGATATGAAGAGAAAAAAGGATTGAAATTTTATTTTCCTTTTTTTTTTCTGCTGCTAATTAATTACTGTAATTTTTCTGGGATTTGATGATATGTAGATATAGTATGTTTTTTTCGAGGTTTGATGATCCCATATTACGCAATGTATTTGTAAAATGTTTCATTTATGATCTAAAGGGTTCATGTATTCAAAACTTTTATTTTTTTTTCTAGTCACTCTTAATAATGGTTCTCACATCTTCCCAATTAGGAATTTAGTAAATTATAATTCTTCTTTGAGTAATTAATCTAATATCAATTCTTTCTTATCAACATAGGTCTGTAGTCCTTGTGGCATGCTTGATGTGAATTGGGTTGAGATATAAGGGTGGGCTTAAGAAGGAGACTGATGCAAATTGGGTTATAGTAGTAGCTGGTACTTGGCATTCATCGTTGAAATGACTGCTGATAGAGATATTGTCGAAGACGGTCTTTGCCAGGATTTGGAGTCTCTGAGTGTGTCAAGAAAGCTTGTAAGAAGTGTCAGCCAGAAATTACGGAAGAAGAGAATTCACAGAAGTGCCGGGGATGAAGAGGAAACTGCTAATGGGTTTTCTTTGAGATGCCTCACTTTGTATGGAAGAGGTGGAGGTTGTAAAGTAGGGGCTGACACCAGTGAAGAGTTTGGAGACTCAAGCAATAGGAGGAGGTCAAGTGCTAGTGAAGAAGGGAAAGGATTTAAACCCATATGCGGGGCTGAGGAAACTGGAGTTGACTGCTTCTCGTATGGAAGGAAGGATCGTTTTTGGAAGCGAAGTAATAGAAAGGAGTTAGAGTACGAGGGATCTAACAGAAACAGCAGAATAAATCTATCACTTCCAGATGATATCTTAGAGATGTGTTTAATGAGACTTCCTTTATCAAGTCTCATGAATGCCCGTCTTGTGTGTAAAAGATGGAATAACTTGACAACAACTCCTCGATTTATGCAGATGCGGAGTGAGGGTCTTTATCAAACTCCATGGCTATTTGTTTTTGGTGCTGTTAAAGAAGGTTATTGCACTGGGGAGATTCACGTGCTTGATGTATCTCTTAATCAGTGGCACAACATAAATGCTGAAGTTCTCAGAGGAAGGTTCATGTATTCTGTTGCCAGCATGAGGGATGAGATTTTCATTGTTGGAGGCTGTTCCAGTCTGACTAGTTTTGGAAGGGTAGATAGAAGTTCTTTCAAGACACATAAGAGTATGTTGGTTTTTAGCCCCTCGACAAAATCTTGGCGTAAAGTTGCGTCTATGAAGTATGCTAGGTCATCCCCCATTCTTGGGATTTCTGAGGTAAGTCTAGACTGTCCAGTCGTGCATAGTCAGTCAAATCGTCAAGATCGGCGTTTTCCAAGGTCAAGGCTTGGTGGGGTCTCCGATGTATATGAGGATCCCCACCGACTCTCTGTCAGACGACAGCTGAGAAACTTGTCTGATGAAAATGCTGGTTTTTTGGCTCCAATGAAAAAACAATGCAGGCCTTTGAGACATAGGAGTGAGACTTCAAGCCTAAGGGAAAGTAAGAGGTTTGTGCTGATTGCTATTGGTGGTCTTGGTTCTTGGGATGAGCCTCTAGATTCTGGAGAGTTATATGACTCTGTATCAAATAAATGGATTGAAATTCCAAAACTTCCTGTAGATTTTGGCATTGTTTGTTCCGGAGTGGTTTGTAACGGGACATTCTTTGTCTATTCAGAGTCTGACAAGCTTGCTGGCTATGATGTAGAAAGAGGATTCTGGACTGTTGTTCAGACAACCCCTTCACCTCCTCGTGTTCATGAATATTACCCCAAACTTGTTTCTTGCAATAGCCGTTTGTTCATGCTTTCTGTTTCATGGTGTGAAGGAGATGGTCAGATAGGTAGGAGAAACAAAGCCATTCGAAAGATGTGGGAGCTCGACCTTATGTATCTTGCTTGGATTGAGGTATCAGTACATCCTGATGCCCCTATGGATTGGAATGCTGCATTTGTTGCTGATAAAAACCTCATCTTTGGAGTTGAAATGTTCAAAATATTTGGGCAAGTTTTGGACTTCTTTACCATTTGCAATGTATCCGACAAGGTCATGAAATGGAGTCATATATCAAGAAATCGTGTGGCTCTTGAACTTGATGCATCTTCGTGTGTGACGAAAACTATCATGGCTATACATCTCTGACCCTGCTTCAGAGTTCAGCCATATAAACAATGCCAGAAACATATGAAAGAATTGTGCCAAAATTGGCCCGATTTAGGTGAGTTTTATGAAAGTCTTCGATACCCTGTAGACAATTACATTGTTTGGCATGCTTAATATGCAATTTACATGCCCATGTATTGTAGTATGTTACAGTTTGATCAGGCACAGTTTTTTTTTCCCCTTACAAAAGTGTATGGTTTTTCCTATTAATACCAATCAAGCTGGATCCTTAGTGGAAATGTATGTTGGTTGAATTATGACAGAAAGTGGACAGTTGTTGGTATTAGTTTTGTTATTATGAAGGCCTCAAATCATAATTATTTACTAATTGAATGTAAGATGTCCTTTCCTGACCCACTAACTGTACCTGTTCTGATTTTAGTATTGACTGCATTTGACAGCTCAACATACTATTTCTTGCTCACTTTGTCTTATCGAAGAAACTCACAAAAACCAATTAAGGCAAATAAATTGACATTTAAATAAGCAAGCAATGAACGTGGATGAATCATGTGCATGGTACATTTTTACATTTGAATGTATAATAGACATCCACACTATTGTTGCGTACATATAGACATCCACAATATTGTTGCGTAAGACATCTGCACTTGAATAATCTAGAAACCGGGCCACGTATGAGCTTCGTTTGTGAAAGATAGAGATGCCACAACTATTCCTAGCCCTGTTCCAGCCTCTAATTTACTTGAGCACAAGGTTCGCTGGCTTGCACTGCATCACCATCTCTAAGTGTGCTCTTTAAATTTACTCAACTAACAGTCTACCACGGCTATAAATATTTAAAAGGTTGGTTCATTTGTTGGTCAGTGGTCACATATTCATAAACCCATAAATAGAGAGCGAGGGATAGCTCAATTGATTAGAGCTTGAAATCGATTCTCATCCTTACCTTTGTTGCTCTCTAGCACCAAAAAAAATAAAATAAATAAATAAATAAAAAATAAATAAAAATAATAATAATAAATGCAAAAGTAGTCTTGTAAACATTTCAAAACAAAAGATTTGACATAATGGACTTTACAACAAATGTTAAAACATACTACACACTTGTACATTTTCGCCACCCTTTCCTATAACACCCATAACGCATTGTACACACTTTGCCAATTTTCTGGAAAAAATATCGGAAGAAAATTGCAGACTATCCATTGTTGGGGAATATCCCTGAGAAGTTCGGCATTCTATCAACATGCTTCAATGCACGCTCAGCTATTTGTTTAGTGCGGTAGTCTCCATGCTGGAAGGCATCGACAAGCGCTGTTCCAACATTCTGATCATTCGAAATTTCATATGCTATTAGATCGATCCGTAGGAGCCTCTCGGTTACCCAAACCGCCCTCTTCCTCAGGTCTTCTGTTCGTTTTTCCACCAAAATATCCAAGATGGGTTTGGTTCCATCCGCCTTGTGCAATGTAATAACCCCTTCTTCAATGTTAACTCCATCATCCAACAAGGTGGATAGAGCTGCAAGCGATGCCTCGACAACATTCTCATTCGTGTGATCTAGAAGTGCCACCAACTTTTCAACAGCGTGACCCTCCACTAGACAAAATGTCTCCTTCAAAGAACAGAGACCCTGATGAACTGGGCATAATCCAGATATTGAGGGTGGTTTGCTAAAACAGCCGAAGATAATTGCCAAAATACCAGGTGAAGGAAGCTCGGGCTTTTTGGTCAAGTTTTTGGATTCCGATGAAAGGTTCTGCAAAGCCCAAGCAGAAGCTATTTGCACAATGTCAGTCCCATTGGCCTGCAGCAAGTCAGTGAATAGCCATCCAAGATGTTGCTCACGACAAAAAGCCAATATCTCGGGATCTTCATCTAACACATATGTAATCCTTGCAAGAGAACGAACCAATCCTTCTAGGTATGGAGTCATAAAACGACCACCCCTTGCCTCCCCCTGCCTTATTCTCTTTACTCTAGATATAATCAGCCCGAAAGCATCTTCTTTAAGCATTCGCCTAGTGAGTGCAAGATCTCTTTCAGGGAGTTCAGCCAATAGGCCAACAGCTGCAGCTTGCTCTTCAGTAATTCCATTGTTCTCTGATATAATTCTGATAAGAGCCCCAAGCTGGCCAGCTGCGAGTAAAGCCTCAGCTAGTTCTTGGGCCATAAAAAAAGAGAGGTTATGCAGAAGCTTCACGGCAGCTAAACGCAAATCCCGTTCCTCAATGAATTGGACCAAACTGATGGTAGCACCAGAGCTTTTGATGGCAGCAACCACATTAGGAACAGTTTTACGGTAACTGGTCAATCCAACAAGGACCTGGAGGAGTTTGCACTCAATTGATGGACCAGTGTTGCTAATTAGTTGTAGGAGGTTGTGTATTATGTCTTCAGAAACTAATGTCTGGTTTTCAGGCCCTATTATTACTGAATCAATGTCATACCCTGAATTCACCACATGTGAAAGAATAGTAGCTGAAACCTCTTTTAGTCGCATGGGAAGCTGTTTCACACCAACACCAAAAAGATCATTCACCAAAGGAGGAAGAATTCCTGCTTCAATTAATACCTTTGCACTTGCATCATACGATGATATCTGGTTCAGGGCTTTCAATGAAGCTTCTCTTGATTGTATGTCATTATTTTTCATGAGATCCACAAGTGCTGAACCAACAGTTTCAGCGACCAGAACCTTAACATCATTGTTTAAACCCAGGTCACCAAGTAATGAAGCCATGGATAATTTAGTTTCAAGAGGTCCTGCAAAGATATGCATGCAATACAAAGACTTCAGTGAGTTTAGTCTAACCATGTAGTCATCCTTATCAAGGACATAGCAGGCTAATAAACATGCTGTTGCAAATTCAACACTTCTAGGAGGTTTTTTAGGGACACTTGAAATAACAAAATCTCCGTATCAGGAAGGGTTTCCTATTGACTTTTAGATTTGCCCAGATGGGATATAGGTTGGATACTTTTTATTTCGGTGTCTGATTTTTTTAGTACTGATAGAATCAATTGATTTGATGGAATAAAATGTTTCAAGGAATTCGGTTTTTCTACAATCTTGGGGAAAAAAGGAATTTCACTCTTTTTAGCTTCAGTGTAGACTCGAATAGTCATTTTATGAACTGAATCTCCTTCATATAAATAAATATACTTAGATATTGACCGCTCTAAATGAGCCTATACATGATGACCAATGACATATAAATCAAGCAACCGACACAATTATCTATCTCAAGCCCAAATTCTCTATACAGCTTTGTCTAGTTCCTTAAAATTTCCTCAAATTGGATATAGTCTAAAAGCACCAGCTGCCAAAGACCATAATTAACGTCAACAAAGTTATTTTATGTCATAAATTGTCACGGAAAGAAGAAACTTCGTATAAGATCTACCATTCTGTTACAGCCAAATGATCCACAGGATAGCCATCAATGCATTTCGCCACAACCACCTTTTCTACTCCCTTCCAAACCCCACAATATTAGTTTGCGACCCATATGTTATACTTCTTATTCAAAGGACTTAAACAAACCCTCTTCATGCAACACAAAGAGCATGCCAGCTCGCACTACTGAATAAAATAATGTGAGCAATATTCACTGTAATCTTGGCAAAGTAAAAAAATGTCAGGTACAACACACCTCAATCTCCATTTCCTCTGTTCTTTTTATGTTACAACACTTCCCTAAATTGGATGTTTTTTTAGTTGCAACATTACTAAATTAAGCAAGTTGCAACATCTATCCATATAATTTTAATATAAGAGAAAGGTTCACTTCAAAGTTAAGATTAAATTATAGTCCATATAAATTCTAAATCAAACAATCTGATTATAATTATATAATCCATATAAATACGAAGTACTCCCTCCATCCCATAATATAGTTTATGTTTTCCTATTTTGGAGCTCCAAAATGTTGTTCCTGTTTCTATTATTGGATGGTATGTAAACACCATTATACCCTCACTTTTTTAACTTTTTTTAACTTTATTCATTGTACTCCCTAATTTACCCTTGAATTTTGCACATGTCTTGTACTTTTCTCCACTTTTTCTAACTTTTGTCTATGATTGTACTTTTCACCTTTATTAATGTACTTCATCCATTTTCTCCTCCTATTTCTTAAATATCGTGAAAAAACACATACAAGAACTATATTATGGAATGGAGGGAGTATATATTTTGTTGCATATGCTATTGTAAATAATAGCATAAAATTATGGTTTCCTTGTAGTTCCCACGGCGATATTGCAGAGCAAAGTCAACTTAGATATACTCTGACAAATTCAACAAATTGAAGCCCACTCATCTCTTATTCATTTTATTAACCACTTACGCCAACTTGATAAAGTATGCGCATGGTATATAGAGGGATTGGAGGCCAATTCCTTTCAAGAGGTGCTCAAATTATGAAAATATTAACAAGGATCCTCGGACTATTGTGTATGCTTTTGACATCAGGATAGTTATACTATTCCTTTCGCTCTTTAAAGACCTTCTTACTTAACATTTCATCGTTCCACAAATAAATCTTACTATTACTTTATTCCAAATCTGGCAGCTCCCCCTCACCCCCTTCCCCTCCCCCCCTTCTCTTTTATCCTCCTCTACTCCAAATAGGTCAACTTATTTTAATTGATAATACTCCCTACCATAAATCTAAACAACTTTCTTTTTCTAACCCAATAACAACAATATTTGCTTAAATCCCAATGATAGGATCTGCTACAAAAACCAAGAGTTTATAACTTGTATTCATCAACCAATATCCTCTCCCTCCATGCCCCTCAATCAAGTACTTGAACTCAATTTCTTTATATAATTCTTATATCCCTTCATCCAAGTCATCTTTGATATCCCTCTTCTAAAGAGAGCACATGTGCTCTCAGCAATACTTTCCTTACAATGCATCTTTGGTCTCCATCTTACATGCACAAACCAACTCAGTCGATTCTCCCTTATTCTCTTTCCTACCCTAAGAGTCTTTTTTCATTTAAATTAAAGGTATAATAGCAAGTGTAAACTAAATTTATGAAAGTATACTAACAACAAATTATTTATAGATTTAATGTAACATGTCATCATCAAATAATTAAGGCTTGGATCCTATATAGTCCATTTCATATAATAAATTGACAAGCTAATATAGTAAGCTAGGAGGTCAATTTCATAAACAATAAGTAATGGGGAAAATTTGCAACTCCTCCCCCCCCCCCCCTTTCTTTTATACTCCATACATCTAGATTAATTTTTTTACTTCTATTTCAATCAGGTCTCACTAATATTTAATACTTCCTCCGTTTTGTTTTAATTGCAACATGGAGAGGATGCACAATATTTTAGGAAGGGAAAGAGATAGAGAGAGATAAAGAAAGGCCCATGTGATAAGGAGAGAGATAGAAGGCATTATTGGTCAAATAAAGTAATTTTCCAATTAATTTGCAACGTCCCAAAAAGGAAAATGTTACTGTTAAAAGAGAACGGAGAAAGTAAATCTTTCTACTCTCACATTAAATAAACGAAGGAAACCCATTGTCTTCAATCACATCTACTTCTTTAATATTTAAATAAAACCACTACATCATACAACGTCTACTAAATCATTAAAATAGCAAGTGATAACCAAACTTGTCACCTAAAACTTTATCATGATAGATGTTTAAACTAATACGGGAAGAAGGGAGTTATTCTTTCACTAGGAATTCTTTCTTTGTGATACACTAGAAAAAGCCTCCCTAATAGTCTTGCAAACATCATGAATCTCATGTGTCAACATGATAGAACAAATTTAGGTTTTTATTTATGACCTCTGACAAAATGCAATCAATAAGATCTGTACACATGTTCAAGAGTATAATTCCAAGACACCAATTAAGTATAAAATATTGCAATTAGAAAACAAAATTGGTGAGTATGTATAGAATAACTACCAAGGACAATCATTTAACTAAGGAATAATATCACCAAAGTAGGAAGAAAGACAGCCATTCAAGGATGAAAGGAGTCTTTCAAACACAAAGACGCTTCCCAACAACAACAACAACAACAACAACAACAACAACAACAACAACAACAATAATAATAATAATAACCAAATGGCAGAATGACATCTAGGGTCACAAGGGTATGGGAGCTTCATTGACGGGGAAAAGGGGGGGCGGGGGTGAAAATATACACTCTTTTACCAGAAAGTTAGTTTTATATATTCAAAGAGGAAAGTATCCCAAACAAATCTACCTTAAATCATTTCTCAAATAATCCACAAATGTTCACCTCTTCATGAGGCAATTAGAAAGTAAGAAAACTTCATTAAAGATGACTGAAAAGCTAACACTGTTTATAATTATGATTATTTTGAAGTTTCACCATCCTCTATTTATCTCTCTACCTGATCCAACCTTCCTTTGTCCCCTAGAGCACCACAAGCTTCGTCTTAGAAAGTAGAAATTAGTTCACCACTCTAGGACACCACTGCCTCCCCTCATATTCTCCGCCCCCTCAAAAATCTTGGCCACCAGCCCACCACCACTTATCTTCATGTCAGTTAGGCTCATTTTTAGAAACCTTCAAAGACATAAGCTCATTTTGTTGCCCAAGTGTTTGATCGTTTTCACTGCATTCAAGTGATATTTTGGTGGAGCAGTCCAATTTGGCCAGATTATTATTGTTTTAGTTATTATTATTATTTTTTACCAGATTTTAGGTAAGGTTAAGTGGGGACAGTGGTTGTAGGAGGTGTTGAGGAGAGTAAAGAGAGCAGGGACTGAAGTGCATATATATATATATATATATATATATATATATATATATATATATATATATATTTAAAGTGAATAGCATGATGATGACAAGGATGAGAGATAGTAGAGAGGTATACAAGGTAAGGAGAGAATGAACCTAAAGACCGGAAACTTACAAGTAGAATCAAGACTAGTATTCTTCTTGATTTTCGTAAGGCATATCCACTTATGATTTACCTTGAGAAAAGATAAAAGAGTGGGAATAATATTGAGAAAGGACTAAAAGTACAAGTTTATGTGAAAATTCCTAAAAGTTAAATTTCTCAAGTCTACATTTGTATCTCAACAGCATGTGCAACACATATACAATCTCGTAGCAAAATATCTAAAAGTAAGAAACGTAATTTAGAAGCAAAACACATAAGTGGCTTAGTGCCCCACCTCCTTTCAGATAGTATATTCATGTCTCCAGGTTTAAGTGGACACATCAGACAAAAATAATCTAGATATATTAGAGTGAGAGCAATAACCTTCAAGAAGCAGTGTCAAAAGAGGCTGCAGTCTACCACTTTCAGCCATCAGCCGAACATTATGTTCACTCTGCGCCAGATTATCCAGGGTTTTATGAGCTTTCTCCGTAGTCAATATGTTTTCTGACTTGCTGCTGGCCATCCCAATCAAGATAAGGATTGCTCCATTGATTGAACCAATTTTTTCAGAAAGATTATGAGATTTAGAAAGCTCATATAGCAAAGAGGTAGCTTCTTCTTTTTCTTTTGGTGAGGATTTAGAGGACAAAAATTTCATTATGGTACGCACAGTGCCTCCTTCACCCATTACTTCCTGCATAGACATAAATCTTTAATTGAAACTTCAATTACATTATACCTTCCAATACTAAAAGGAAATATGAAAGCAGAATACAATCCCATGTATCACTCAGTAGGATATGTAAATGTGCAGACATAAGCTTAAAAGTTACTCTTGGCATCACCAATGCTTGACCTACTTTAGCAAAATGAGGATAGAAGACCAATATCGGAATAATCAGAAAATAATGATTCCAACAATTTTCCTTACAAAAAAAAGACTTATACAAGGAATTAATAACCAGGAAACAACCTTCATATCTGGATCCTCTTCTGCTATGACCCGTAGAGTTTCCAAAGCTTTATGTCGTACTTTCTTGCTGCTGTTTCTAAGCATTTCAACAATTGCTTGCACTATCTCTGGATTATGAACCGCTTGCTTATTTGATCTGCTACATTTTGAAATGTATTCCACATGTCTCAATGCTTGAAGTATATCCCGTTCTGATGACCCTGATGATAATGATCTACGAGCAATATCAAGCTGTGCAGCTTCATTCCTTGCAGTCCATTCTTCAATTGTGTTCCTCAGAGCTATACTCGGGTTCAAATATGTGCTTTTCAGGTTCTCCGAAGTTAATGGACACATAGGCTTCTTTCCAGTCTCTTTACATTCCCTGAACCATTTCTCAATTGCCTCCCGTTCAAAAGTGTTTCCATTTTCTATGGTTACTGGATCACGCATGACCTGCTTTGTTAAAGGACAAACAAATGGGCTAAAAATGGGCTCTACATGCAGTTTCTCAACTGGTGAGCTATCATCTGACTGGTTATCAAAGTCTCTACTTCCACCTGAACTCCCGGCCATATTACACAAAGAGCCTACAACACAATCAAATAAAAACTGATCAGTGTTAGATTTCACCCATAATGAAATAGAGAAACAGGTCACATCATAATAATCCCACATTATACAGGTATACATACCCACAAGAATTGATAAAGCTCACATATTGCTCAACCAGCACCTCCTGGACCAGAGAAAAAAATTCACATAATTCATATACTACATCATAGCCTAATAACTTCTAACGACGCTACCACTCTGAAGTCAGAAAGGAATGCTTACTCCTGTGACAACCAAAAAGTTGTTGCAGTTGACCCTACCCATTTAGTATATGGTAATAAATGTTGGTAATGGGTCATATTTTTATGAGAAATGTCCTATGCTTATGCCCATGGCCCCATGACAATGCTAGTTCATCCCAAAGTACCTCTTTTTCTTCATAAATTTTTCATTATCATCCATAACCACTTGAATGGTAGTGATGAGACATATGGAGAAGGATGGGTTTGCATTACAATAAACATTAAAATAATACTTTCTTAGCAAAATTACACTCATTCATTCCCATCACAGCCATTCAGTACCACCTTTCAAAAAGGCTAGTGAGTACATGCTGATCCACAATAATAAGAGGTTCAGCCATTTAAACAATTTAATCCAGCCCATTACAAACTAAAGTAAAAAAAACAACAAAAATTTCACTCCATTAGAAGTAGACATTAGTTTAACAAATTTCGTATATACTGGTTGGCCTCTATATCTTCATTAAGTACGCTTTGATAGTCTATTAGCAATCATTTTGATCCAATTATCCTCTTCAATTGTGTAACCTAATGCATGATGAACATACTGTGAACCTGCTGTCTGTGAATACTCTATGACTTTATAATTAACCCTTTTGTCAATTGCGGTTATAACAACCGAAGATAGACACTAAGGGAGTTGGGGGGGGGGGCAGTAGTACTAAGACTTCACCAAATACACGAGTTTGTAGTCACCCTGTCAATATTCTTCATATTAATTACCTCTTATGACCAGTGGGTAGGCAATAAACATGTGACCAAACCAGCAATGGGATGAGTTTGCGCATACTTCACTAAAGGAAAGTTCTCATGCTATTGTTTATGATAATGCAACTCCACCCAATAAAATGTTTCTCTTCATAATTTCCAATACTACTTTAGAGGTTGTATCTTGTATCAACTATCAAGTTGTGATGGAAACTTATGAGCCAAAAACATGTACTCACGGGTGGAGTTGCAAGAACATGGAAATTGGGACAAAGGTATACACAAAATCATTATTTAAACCATCATTTATCACAAACCATACAGATTCGTATAGTTGAAAAGATGGTAACTTTTCGAAAAGTTAACTTTACAAGTTAAATTTGATAGTTTTCTATGAGCACATAAATTTGTTGGTGCTCTACCTGTAATGTTACTCAATTAAAAACAAAATGCATCAGAACTTAAAATGTTTCAACCAAGGTTACCTAATATCCTATCCGCCCCATATTCCGTATTAGTACTTTCGTTCCAATACTCAATACTTTTGCGTATTAACACTCCTAAATAAGCATATTGTTCGTGTTGTATGGAGTAATCGATTGGTCCACTATTAAGACATTGTAACCAAAATTTGGACATTGGAATTCAATCAGTTTTATCTACAAGTCAGCAAAATATTTTTTTTTTTTTTTTTTTGACAAGAGCAAAATATCCTTAATATCCTACACATAAGCCAAATCAAGAAACACCCAAATTAATTAAGCATTACTAAATTCATAACATTCATCAAAACAGTAACTTTTAATAATCCAAGATATCATCACCAAATTCATAACCATAAGCCAAATTAAGAAACACCCAAAACCAAACATACAAATTCAAGCAAAATTAAAAACACCCAAAACTAAACATTAACAGATTCATACTATTAACAGTAATTTTAATTATTGAAAAGAGTAACCAAATAATGAATTGGAAAGTGAGAAAAATTATACCTAAAATTCAGGAGAAAAATCAGCGGATCACCTTAAAATATGATCCAACGCGTGAAGAAACTGCTTGAATTACAGGGTGTATAAAGAATTTTAGCCGCGGCAAGCAAACCCACAATCATCAAATAATAAATAAATGAAATATTAAAAATTTCTTCTTCTTCGAAGATGGGTAGTATTGGAAAAATGGTGGGTGAAGAAGAAAGAGAAGGGAAAAAAAAAAAGAAAAAAAGAAGAAGTGTAGAGTAATTGTAAATTGTAATAGGAATAGCAGAAGAAGAAGATTGGTTGACTAGGAAAATACTTGTATAATTTCTCGTCAGAAAAAAAAAATATAACAAAATAAATAGATAAATAAAAATACTACAGCAGTATACTTACAAACTTACAGTCATGATTGAATGCTGATGGGGCCAATCTCTCTCTTCTATAACTTTTTATTTTTTTGGGTGTTGTCATGTTGTGGGACTAAGTTGCATAATTGTGCAACACTAATCAAAAGCAGCATTTATAATCTATAATACTCTATAGATAGCCCTTAGTACTACATATAAGCATTAAATTTAAGCTTGAAATTTGTAAAAAGTTAAAAAATCATAAAAATATAAACACTAATTACACTGGTTTACGCGTGTTTTTGTCATGAATTCCTAATTTTATACAATTTTCAAGAGTGTATTTAATGCTTATAGCATTACCCTTTTTTAAATACTCGCTTCATTTCTCCATACGCAAAATTTTAGGAGAAAGTATTAAAATATGGAGGTAGTGGATTAGGTAGAAGAATATGAAATTGTAAAAAAAATAATAAAAACAAAAGTAGTTGAGAGAATTGGAGGATGGAGAATATGAAATTAATAAAATAGGATTATGTTAAGTCCACTAGCTAGAGAAATGAAATAAATATTGTAAAAACTTCTAAATAAGAATATAGAGCAAGTTTTTAAAAACGGGGGAGTATAATTTATTCTCATAGGGACAACATGTTGATGACATGTGTCGCTCCATGTCATAATAAGATTCTATAATAGTAGGAAAATTTGTCACAAAGGACATTTTATATCCACTATTTTATAAAAAGAAGGGACCAAAAATGAGTTTTGATTTGTGAGGAATGACCTTTGCCTGAAAAGTGAGCGTTGACCAAAGAAACTCATCGTTGGGCACCACAAAATGATAGCCACCACCTCGCTCTTCCACCAAAACCCCCACCCCACATCTTTCACGATATCCACCCCCTCCCACCACCCCTTTCATGTACACCGCCCCACCCCGCCCCCCACCCCGTGAAAGGCAGTCACCACTGCCACCACCACTCGAAATTCCCCAGCCAACAAAATCACAGATTTAGCCCATCAAAAATCACCCTACAACCTCAAAGCTCACCCTCAAACGTAGAAACCCACTTCGTTAAGGAGTTACGGGTGATGCGGTGATAGACGAGAAGTAAGGATGGCAATGGATCGAATTCGGGTCGTATGGACCTTCACCCGCATCCATCCACGTACTCCATCCGATCCACCCGTCATCCGCCTAATCCATCATCCATATCCTATCCACCCATTATCCGCAGGTAAAATGAGTGGATCGGGTACTTAACGAGTGATATGATAATAAAATTAACTTCTCTTAAAAATTAAAAACTATAATTAAAAAAAAAAGGGTAAAAATGACATACAACATTAAATTAGTTAAATATTCATCATTTATCTTTAGTTTGGTCTTTCACCAACTACCACTTTCTTAAACTTGTGTAAGCACTTAACAGTCCATGGCAGAGGCAAGGTTGATATATACTTTGATAGCAATTTGGCATGGAAGAGCAAAAGGTCCTTGTTCATTATCTACAATGATAGTAATAAAAGGACAAGCGGACCACTAAAAGGATTTAGACCACTAAAAGGATTTAGATGTTTGATTTATGTAGTGGAACTTTTATTTGGCTCATGGGAAATTTATTTGCATGAGCAATATACAATGCCATTATCTCTGGGTTTAGCTATGAATGTAAAAGGTTAACTCATATATATATACATGGGTGGATGACAGAACGGGTGGTAAGCGGATGAAGGATCAGGTGACGGATGGCTTGGAGCTACACCCGAATCCGATCTGATCCGTCACTCGCTTCATCCATCACCCACCCGTCATCCATTTATTTATATCGAGTTGATCAGGTTAATGAATATCCATATAAAATTGTCATCCTTAACAAGAAGGGGGTAGGGCACTGGGGTTCAAATCAGCGGTCAGGGGAAGGGGGTTGTTGGGCGGTAGGTTTCAAAGTTGGGGTGGGGGAAGGGGTTGTCGAGGAGGGAGGGAAAAGCTACCATGGAAGGGGTGGGGAATGGGGCTACGTATGTACCATGAAAGGGGTAGGGGAGGGTATTTCGAGACAGGGTGGTTGTCGTGAAAGGGTGGGGAGAGAGGGTTTTGTGGAATAGCAAGGTGATGGCTTTCATTTCGTGGTAGTCAACGTCGGATTTCTTTGGTGAATGCTAAATTTCCAAGCAATGGTTCATCCTCACCAATAAATACTTAGTTTGGGTCCCTTTTTGCCATTTTTTGTAAAAGGTTCTTTCTCACAAAATAGTGAACATAAAAGGTTCTTTTTGACAAATTTTCCATGATAATATTATTAAAACTTATAGGGACAACTTTTTGACAACATATATCACTCCATGCTATAGTAAGCCATGTCATAATAAAGTTTATTACGTGGCACCACATGAATGATGACATGACGCTACATATAGATATTTTCCTTTATACTCTATTGACTTATTGAGTACTTTGTATTTGATTTTTTATTCCATAATTAATGTCACTCTATTACTCCGTACTTAATTAATATAAATGGTAACTTTTCATTAACTTGGAGAATTTTTGTCAACAACTACCTTTTAAGTTTACCACTTTTGTGAACAACTACCTTTTACTTTAGAATTTGTGAATAACTACCTTATATTGAGTTTTTAGTTTGGTGTCACTACTGGTTGACGGATTCCATCAAAATTCACCCCAAATTGAAAATTGTAATCTAATTTGGGTGTTAAGTAGGCAAATCAAAAGTGAAAAACATTAATATGGGTTTTAAATTAACTAGGTATAACATTAAAGTGTTTATAATAGGTTTTAATGGGGTCTAATATATGTAATTAGAGTTCATTACTATCGAAAATTTTGATGGAAACCATCAAATGGTAGTGATATCAAAACAAAAAATCAATATAAGATGATTGTTCGCAAATTTTAAAGTAAAAGATAGTTGTTTGCAAAAATGATAATTTAAAAGGTAATTGTTCACAAATATTCCTTAACTTGGATTCCAAAAGTTTTAAAACATATTTTTTCATCCCCATATTTGTTTCTACTTTTTATTTTATTATTTAACCTTAAGATAACGTATTCAAGATATTTAAACAAACCCGAGGCATGCTATGTTCTTCTTCCTTCTTTTTTAATATAATGTTCTTCCCGTAATTTTCTTCTTTCCTTTTTATGATTCTTTATTATTCACTTTCATTTTTCTCTCCTATTTCTTCTTCAACATTTTTTCTCTCTTCTTTAATCTGTACCATTATAGATTTTATTGTTATATTTGAAGAGATCATTTATGCAGGTAGTGAGAGTGAGAGATTACTCAAGTGGTTAGAGCTTCCCTCCCGATTTCAGGAGATTCTAGGATTGATTCTTACCCTCGCCCTTGTAACTCTCTAAACACCAAAGAAAATAAAAACAACGCGGATTAGTTTTTGTGTTGTTGATTTTTAATTAGTTGTAATTAGGTTAGATTCTAGCTGAATTTTGTAAATTTCTGGTTTTATAATTTGATGAATTTCAATTGACTTTTTTTATTTGATGAATTTGATTAATTAGACTGTCTCAATTGAATTTTTGAATTTGTTATGACTATTGATTTTGTAATACTTTGTATTTTTATACGTATTTAAAATAAAATAAGCATTTTGAGAAGCATTTAATTAAATTGAATTACTTTATTTAAAATATTTTAATTAATTCTTTAAAATAAGTTTAGAAATTTTTATAAAAAGGAAAATTTATTTAATTAAATAATTTAAGTAAGTTGGGGTTTAAATTAAGGAAAGTTTTAGTTTAGTAAAGTTTTATTAGGGATGGGATTAAGAAAATTTAAAAGAAGAAAGTTAGGGAAAAAGGGTTTGTAGAGAAGGGGTATAAATATCCCACATATGAGGCAAATCAAACTTTGCCCAGAGTGAAGAAAACCCAAGGTAAACTTCTCTCTCCTTTCTCCTTATTTTCCTTTTTTTTTTCTTTCTCCTTTTTCCCCTTTCCCTTTCTTTTTATTTCGGCTGCTCTTCCCCCTCCACCACTGCCAGCCGCCGGCAGCTGGTGGCCGCCCCCACCAACAGCATCAGCCGCCGGCAACAAGCAGCCACCGGTGCTGGCAGTCGGCGTGTGGTGGCTGTCGCTGCCCTTTTTCCCCCTTTTTCGCATATATATATATATATATATATATATATATATATATATATATATATATTAATTCTTTATTGCTGAAAACTAATTTATTCCTAAATCTAATTATTGATTATGAATTTTGGAATTTGATTTTGATGTTTAATTATAAGTATTATGTTAATAAATTTTCAGATTTTGTTCTTGATTTATAAATTATTGAGGGGTTATGTTGTATAATGCTTTAGATATTTGATTAAAATGTTTTAAGGCTTATTTACAGCAAATTTTAATTAAAATATAGTGCTGGAATTTTTAGTAGAGCACTTAAAATCAAGTTTCTTTAAGGAATTTTAATTACCCATTAATTGGGACTAAATTATGATGTTTTAAATATAATTTCAGCATGTTTTAATTAAATTATGAGGGGTTTTATAATAGTATATACTAGATGAAAGCCCGTGCGATGCACGGTTTTTATCTATAAATCTCATGTAAGGATAATATTTTTTTTTTGTAATTACACCATACAATAATATATTGATTAAATTATTGTGCTGATTAGGAAAAGAATAATTTTTATTATTTTACATAACTTAAATAGAGATCTTATTTGTTGGTGCTAATTATGTGAAAATTGAATATATAATTAATAAAAAAAATTATAAATATAATATCTTATTTGTCGGATAATAGAAGAAAAAAAAGTTAAAATATAAGTTTTTTTTTTTTAAAAAAAAGAAATCGCTAATTAAGCTGGACCCTCCCCTAATCCTTACAAAATTCATTATCATCCGTGAAGTTTTCTTATGGGGTAATTAATTTTATTTAAAAAAATAAATTGTGAATTTTTTTTTCATTGGTTGACTCTCAAATCTCATTCGTTAATTTGTCTCAAGTGGTGATTGATTTTTTAATTTTAAATTAAAATGAATTGTAATATATTTTTTGTATCGTTTGTCATAACTTTTTATA